TGAGAATCGTTCTTAAATAAATATTTTTTGGGTATCTTGAACCGTTTTTACAGCGTACGCATCAGAAACCCATAATGATGAAAAAATTTCTTGATTTTTATCACATTTCTCGCTGTATCTTGGCTTGTATAAATCACAGGGCAATGTTTTATGGACTATAGCCTTCCTCGCATAAATGCTTTAACCAACACAAATAAAAACAAAAAATAATAATTGCGAACCCGTAGTTCCTGAGATAAACGCGTTCAAACAAACAAACTCTTCAGCTTTATATATTAGTACAGATTTCAAACACATAGCGAACTCCCGTTTACCCCCGGTGGGGCATGGGGCATTTCACCATTTCATGAAATTATTTTACAGGCAAGTAGTTCAGACTACGCCCTGCTTGAGCGAAATAATCTATCGTTTCACTGGGGCGCGAACCTAACACGTTCACATAATTTGGCTTTAGCGGCGGTCGGACTGTAGACTAATAGGAACGCAAAGTATATAGACCCACATTGTATGCAGGTACGCAGAAACACGACGTCATTGTTGGCGCTAGCGAGTTCCTCACATTACTATCTATTAAAAACGTATGGAACAATTTGGTTTAGAGAATTCTAAACATTTAGCACAATACATGGTAGCGTACAACAAAGTGCGAACAAAATAAAGCATTAACGGTTCGAAACGCGAAATAAATGAAATGAGTAAACTACTATTAATTTTTAATAAACTAGCTGAACTGACAAACATTCCTTTGCCGCGGTCTTATTGACTGGCGCCTTGGTGTAGTGGTAATGTCTGGCCAATAATCAACGGGCTGTGGGTTCTTTCTAAACAAAATATAATTTTTCTCAAACGTTGGACTTCGTTTGGTTATCTGGATGTTGAATGGGCCACGAAAAACGTTCACAGATAAAAAAGCCGCGAAGTTTAATCGCGTCTCAGGTTACAGTCTGTGCATTTCCGAATATCCAAAGCTAAAATAGGCCGACCGCGCAACTTGCTCAGATGTTCTATGGCTGGTGTATATTACCTACCATCAAATGAACTCTATGCTTCTCCTCTATCATAAAACAATATTGATTAGATACTGTCTATAGTTTACGCGAATAGTGCACATTTAAATAAAACACTTTAACCGTTTAAAACGCGATATATTAGTTAAACTTTGACAACACGGAAACTCGTGAAATTTAGTGAAACTTTGAGAACACGGATGCTTTGCAGCAGCCATGGTCACGGGGAGACCACGGCTGCTGCAAAGCATCCGAAACGTCGGGCCGAAGTTAAAAATCATTTTCAAATCAGTTTAACTAATATATCGCGTTTTAAACCGTTAAAGTGTTTAATTTAAACAATATTGATTGTTTATTTGTTTCTGTGTTAATTATTATTTTTTATCCTTATACCTTGTGCCTCTCTTACCTTAGCGGAAGCCCGCCAGAGAGGGAGCTGACATATTTCTATGTCCGTTTCATCAATCGATTATTTACAGGCATTAGTTTTTCAAAAATGTCCCACCCAACCGAAAATTTCCCAGGGATTTAATTGAAAAAATTAACGACCGGGGCAGGACTCGAACCGGCAACCACAGCGTTCCGTGCTGCTGTATTAGCTAATGGACAAACCGACACTGACGTGTCGGTTCGTCCATTATCATCAACCAATCGATTCATGCATCTCTTGCGCAATTTAATTTCAACTTTAAAAATTAAACATATATTTGTTTCATTCACGCATCAAAATAAATGCAGGCACGTCGGAATTCTTGGCTGGCGAACGTGCTGCTGTCAAACGTGAGATGAACGGCATATCATTATCTGTGCTTTGCTGTTACCGCTTCCACCGCTGCTATCGATAATTTGGGTAAAAATGCAAATATTGCCACTTAAAAAGCTACTTATTTGAAGAGTTTGTTTGTTTAGTTAGTTGCTTGTTTGTTTGTTTAAAGGTGCTAAACTCGGGAACTATTGGTACAATTAGAATGCAATTTGTACCTAATTTATTATTGAATAGATTGTTTTTGTGTTTGTTGGATCTAATACTGTCTGTAGTTTACGCGAGTGGTACACATTTAAATAAAACACTTTAACGGTTTAAAACGCGATATATATTAGTTATAATTGGTAATGTTTTATTTAAATTAGTTGGATCATTTCACGAGGAAGACATTAAACCATAAAACCCTAGGCTGCGACCGATATTAGTAAAGATAAAAGAGAATTGTGGAAAAAGGGGAAAAATTATAGATCCTTGTGGCCTTCCGTTGCGTACGCTTTGAAAAGGTACGAGATAACCAAAGAATATTGATGAAAGAATGATATCTCTATAATGATCTAAAAAAAATTACGACAGTACTATGTCTATCTTTAAGATTAGCTCGCACGATCCGTTGTTATGGTAACTAATAGAAATATATTAATAAGAAAATCTATATAATTTTCTTTGAAAGTTATGTCACGGGCGAAAACCCACGATCACAGTGTGCACGCTGTTCATCGAGCGATCGAAATACTGTGTCCCAAGCGACATTGGTTGTGTAATTTCAACCTTAAAGCATCAAATTAAGGATAAATATTGTATGGATTTGATCTTAAATGTATTACAAATATGTATTAAAAAGTTTTATCGCTTTAATTTTTTTTCAATAAAGAGGAAAATTTTAAGTTAAAATAAAAAAAACAAAACGATGTGCTATTTATAAATGAAACGGTTCCCGACAAAGATATATTTTTCCTAGTAGTTAATTAAAGAACTCTCGCTGAACGAGACAAACATTTATATATATAAAATATGTTTTACCAAATCTCTTCTTTAGAAATTACAGCTGTTACCCACGACGTAGTCGTTCCGTCCGTCGTTCTTGCGAGTTAATTTTAAATGATAGACAGACATACTTTTGCGGAGATTTTTTTAGATCGTAGGAATCATTGTTCCATACATATACATACTTTTTTTTGGCTTCTTCGCAGCTCACGCAACGTCTGCAACTTCCAACTAGTAGGTCCTGAGATTACCGCTATCAAACAAACTCTGCAGCTATATAATATTAGTATATTATATAGCTGCAGAGTATAAGGAATTTAAACGAAATATATATTTTTTTAAGAAATTTACGTCTTTGTACGATATTCGGTTTGTATCTAAATAAAAGGAATTATTATTATAGTTATATTAGATTTACAAAAATTGTTTCTTTCCTCTTTCTTTGAAAGCGAAGGTCGTAGGTATATGCAGTGAACATTATGCAAAAAAACGAACCCCATCGTCTATATAAACTTTCACACAAATCGGTCGAGCCGTTTCGAACGTAACATGTGACAAGAAAATTCTACACGTGCTTAAGTAATGACAGGAAGTAATTGTAAATTGTTTTTTTTTTATTATTTGAATGGTATTGACGATCGTTAAAACGGGGTCTAGTTATTTTGTTTATAACCTGTAGAGTTAAATGTTAAAACACAACCATTTTTATTTGTTTGTAACGAACTTTAAAGGTTAAATTCAGTGGTAACTGGCTAAAAAATATTTTTTTTTCAAAAGTCGACTTAAATAAATTTGAATTGAAAGAATATCGAGAATCGAATCCGTGACCTTCGCCTGAGCACTATACTATAACCAACTGAACTAATGGGTCGATGACACGTTTATCTAAAACACTAGCTGTGCACGCTACTTTGTCCGCGTGGAAGAGTTAATTTGGGCATTATATTATTTATCTTTACAAACAACCTCCTTATCTTTATAAACTATAGGCATTTTATCGCCATTCTAGCTTTGCGTAAAGCGTGGTGTCCTAAGTTCGAATCCCAGTTAAGTAATATATTGTTTCATTGTTTCGGCACGGCAGGGCACAGCTATTTGATCAATTACTTGCCTCTAAACAAAACCTATCGATGAAACGGACACAGAAATACGTTCGCCCCACGGGGGGAAACGCGAAGTTACCGTATTAATTAATTTATAATTGTAAAACGGAACCAAACGACTTATGTCTGTCTGACAGACAATAATTATACATATTATTGTCTTTCGGGCTGTTCGGCCAAGGGGGGCGAAAGGGGGCCCGCGGCGTTCCCCCCCCCGGGGGGGGGGGGGGGGGCGGCGGCGGGCCCCCCCCCCCCCCCCCCCCGCCCGCCGGGGGGTGTTTTTTTTTTTTTTCCCCCCTCACCTTTTTTTTTTTTTTTTTTTTTTTTCTTATTGACTCAAGAGAATCAAATGTATATTTTTCATAACATCGTATGTCTACTCAGTATTTATCTCAAAATAATTAAATTACTAAAAGCACAATATAAAATTTGTGCTTACACTAAATACTGTCTGTAATTCACATTTAAATAAAATTCTTCAACGGTTTAAAACGTGATATATGTAAGTAAGTTATTGGGAAATTATTCTCACTACAACCCGACGTTTCGGATTCTTTGCAGTAGCCGTGATCATGGGGAGACACGAAACGTTATCCCGTAGTTAAAATAATTTCCAAATAAGTTTAACTAATGTAAGTCGCGTTTTAAACCGTTAAAGTGGTTTTATTAAAATGTGTACTACTCGCGTGTTTAGTTTAAGCACAAATTTTATATGGTAATTTTTTAGTAATATAATTATTTTTAGATAGTTATGGAGTAAACATAGTATCGTGTTTTAAACCGTTAAATTGTTTTTAAATCATTTTCCTTGATTTGCGTATATCGTTTTTATATATGTATATCGTTTTTTTTCTCCTAAATGACAAGAAATCTCTGTCCAGGCCGACCGAAATATGATTTTTCCTAAAGCGCCGTGAGTTTAAAATTAAATCACGGAAGAGTACCGCCTTAAAATATGCGCAACTAAAAAACTAGTTTTAAATGTCGATAACTCGGCATTTATCGATAAGTGTTGCACATCACTACTGAATAATCAGTGAACTTACGTTATCGCGTCAGTATTTGTTTACATACGTAGTGAGGCGCGCCACCATATTGTTTATTGTTTGTTTATTATTGTTTTTAATTTTTATTCCCGTAATGGAAGCGCAATTTGATGGTAAGTGGTGAATAAATGTAATTATTAATAGTGGATTAATTAAATTCGTATCTTATTCTTTCAATTAATAGTTTTAAACCCGTTTGAGGCTTTATTAAAAGTGTATCTTTTAAAAAAAAATGTAACTTAGAACGAGTTAGGGCCAATTTCCTCTACGTGGGCTTGGGGCATTTGTGATTATTCTCATTGTTCACTTTTATTTACGATAAATTCCGTTCTCTACTCGACCGGAATTATGTATTGTGTTTAACCGGGATTCGAACCCGTAAATAGAATAAATGTGAAACAGACATACAAATGTGTCGGGGTTGGTACAAGCCATGGGGCTTGTTTGTTTACTTTCTTTTGATCCTCGACAGGTCTGATGAGCTTCTAACATCAATTTAAATTTTCATCTATTACGTGAACTATCATCCTGTCATAAATTGTTTTACGCTTTATATTTCGCGTTTGAAACCGTTAAATATGTTTTTTTTATGACATTGCCAACAATGATATTATATTCACAATTTATTGCTCCGCGAGTTATCAAGAGATAAAAACAAAGGGACAAAAACATAAGTCAAGTAATTATCTTAATTAGAAGCAAGATATTTGTGTTGGTATCTAATGACAAAGTGTAATAATTATAATCATTTTAGGTACGATCTCGATGCAGAGAATGGGCAGTTTTGATGAGATCTACACAGATTTCGATAGTTGGGTGACAAAGTTCGACAAATACGTCAGGAGAAGGTAAGTAACCCATATGCATTCATAAAATAAAATGTACAAAGTGTAGTAGACATTTAAATAAATCACTTTAACCTAAACCGTTAAATATTTTAAACCGTTTTAAACCGTTAATGTTTTATTTGAAATTAAAAAAAAATCCTAATTATATTTCTTGATTAGTCGAAAAGTTTAATTTATAGCGATTTTTCTAGTTTTATCGTAATAATTTTGCTTAATGGTAAGTAGCATTTACTTATGTAAGTAAAAAAATGGGGGTATCTACATTTTATCGTCCTTTACTAATTATGTACCACGGCTGCTGCAAGACATCCGAAACGTCGAGCCGTAGTTAAAAAAAAATCGAATAAGTTTAACTAATATATAGCGCGTTTTAAACCGTTTTATTTTAATGTACGCTACTCGCATAACTGTAGACAGTATTTATGTAAGTCAATATTATATTGCCTCAAGCCTTAAAAAATATATGTAGAAGTAAACACGAGTTAAATAATATGTGTACATTAACAACTTATACATTGTCTAAGAAGTTAACACATGAAAATATATATTTATTTTATCAATGAAATAGTTATTTACCTTTAAAACTGTCCATGAAATGTACGCTTTTGCATCCGGAAATGTATGTCAGGGTAAACTTCTTTAAACGACCGTTCATCTTTCACAGGTCAAGTTACTTCAAGGCGGAAGTAAATAAAGACGAATTCAAAGCATTAAGACTGCAAGTACAAGAGCACGTCAATATTTTTATAATCGGCCTTTTACAAAAAGTACAAGCCGAAAGACGCGCGGAACACGAAAACCAAAATGAAGGCTGCAAACTTGGCGCGCTGGCGCATTCAGACTTCGTTTATTACAGATTATTAAGCCATTATAATTTAGACAATATACGATCAAAACTTTATTTTTTAACTTTATTTCACACCTGCGTTGTTCTAATCCCCGAATTAAACTAATTAAGAATATTTACAATCGTACAATTTTTCGTTTTTCGTATAACTGTTTCGAATTGAAAAAAGTCGTTTATTTGGGTTAAACCATTTATCGAGGATAGCTATAGTTTAAAAAACATCGCGATGTGACTTATAGAAGCTAAGACACAGAGGGACTAGTGAAAAAAACTGATAAAATCATTCTTCCTTGTGTGTTTCCGTTGCGTATGCTACAAAAACGGTTCAAGAGCCAAAAACATGTAATAAAAAATGATTCTTCCTTAAATGATCTAAAAAAAGTACGCGACGGCTATATTATGTCTATCTTTCAAGATTAACTTACAAGAACGACGGGACACGGGCGTCGTGGGTAACAGCAAGATGTCGAGGGGGTTTGCAAAAAGAAGTTTTATGCCTAAAATAACTATTCTACGCGGACGAAGTCGCTGACACAGCTAGTTTATAATATTATTTTGTACATTTGTATGAATTAATTTTACTGCTATCTGTGAAATAATCACAAAACCATTTAATCTGTCATGTCAATGTCACATTGACACAAGTAATACAGTTGTCATATACAATTCAAAATTTCCAGTTATCTTATTTAACTTACGTCATGTATGTATTAACCAGTACGAGTCCATGTGTATTTTATAACTCAAAAACATGAGTCACACCGTTAATTATTACTTCAAACAATCTCAATTTTATACTACACGACAGACTTAATAAGACAGAATGTGAAACATTACAATACATGTGACGTCAACGAATGTCTGACGATAAAAGAATTCGCTCAAAGTACAAAGGGTTTTATATCTTTACGCTTAATTCCAAGAGCAGTCCAAACTCCAAAGATTGTCATAGCAGGAATAAAACACGATATGCTCGCAGTGTTTGCCTCACAAACTGCGGTAATGTAGTTTGTTCTACGTAACCTTCATAAGTGCAAGTGCGCGATGAACTTCCAGGAGTGGAATCTAAAGGTGCCATGGGGTAATCTTGCACGTAAGTATACGATTTTTAATCATTGGTGTAATTTATTTTCTATAGTAACTTATACTTCTGGAACTAATAACTTTTTCACATTATAAAGATTCTTAAACAATAACTGTAGTTTACACGGGTAGTGCACATTAAATATAACGAATTATGACTAAGGTAACTGATTTTTTATTAATTTTAACTATGCTAAAAAGGCAAAGTAACATTAATTAGAACTAGTTTTAATATAATGTTATAACTGTATTAAATTAATCTAGATGTTGCATCTACTAAACCCTTTTCTAGTTATTTTGCACAAACTTAATAGATTACAACTTTTAAGTATGCACTTCTCATAATGTGGGTAGTTTGATGTTTAAGATACTACCTCTGTTGATTACAGTTAAACATGTTGGTAAACACTGCATTAAGCATAAAAGAGGCTTGGCTCAGAACGCTAATTAATTTAATGTATTTGTCCCACGCTCCTAAGGGGAAACTGACATTTTATATGTGTATAAGAGTTTAAGGTAAAAAAACATTGCATAAAACTCTTTGATTGCTTGCTTTTGTTTATCTAAGAACAAGTTAATTGTTAACTAAACTAGTTCTACGCTATTAATCTTTATTAAAATAAGCATTAAAGTAGTTATACGTTTTTATTCCGTTAAGGTAATTAAAAACATGTTTAAATTACATTTATGAGTTCAACAGAATTAATTATACAATATGGCAATATAATGATAATCCATGACCTTGACGTCTAGTTTATATTGTTACATTAGACTTTCCTTATAATACTAATAATTCTGTGCGTAGTACGTGTTTAAATAAATGTTTTTAACGGTTTAAATTCTGATCTGGCTCTTTGGCTTTTTAGCAACCATGGTTACAGCAAAAGTACCAATTTTACAAAATATTTTAACCCATTAAGATTTTTTAATTGATACTTATTTTCTCTTTACCTACTTTTGCCCATAATTCTCTAAGTGATTTAAGAATTTAGCAGTTTTACAAAAAAATACATAAATATTAAGATTATTTTTTTTGCTAATTCGTTTTTTTATCACTTCTGCTGTCATAATTGAGAACTAGTTCTCAAAGCTTTGCTATCATCAGTGGATGACATCATCAGATCTTCAGAACTTCAGTCTTGTGATTGAGAAACGTAATAACCATATTTTTTGCAGCTTAAGTGCTAAAAAATCTAAGTTACAAATGAATGTAAAAGCCCTCTAATTTTATATTGGTAATTTGTTAAAATTAAATTCATAAATTATTTTGTCTATTCTGATGTGAAAAATGTATAATGGAAATTATTCTGTTTTCTACTGTTACACTTAAAATATCTTGGCCATTGGGCGAACATGTATTGATCAGATTTCTATGCTCTACTGAAACAGTTTATAGTTTTCCGATATTCAAACCCTAGACTTCTCATGCTCATCAAAACTAACTAATATGCTTAACCATTGAGTTGTGGAGGCAGCAGTAAAGAATTTTTAGTACATTATTTTCATAAATCCACAGACATCAAGAACGATTCAATAGTATGTATATTAAATACTGTCTATAGTTTTCGCGAGGAGGAACCCCTTTAAAAAAAACCCCTTACGGGTTTAAAAACCCCATTTTTGGACAAGGGCCCAATTTTTTCCCCCCCCCCCCCCCAAACCCCCCCCCGGGGAAAAACCCCCCCCCCGGGGGGGGCCCCCCCCCCCCCCCCCCCCCCCCGGGGGGGGGGGGCGGCCCCCCCCGCGCCCCCCCCCCCCCCCCCCCCCCCCCCCCCCCCCCCCCCCCCCCCCCCCCCCCCCCGGGCGGCCCCCCCCCCCCCCCCCCCCGCGGGGGGGGTTTTTTTTTTTTTCCCCGGGGGGGCGGGCGCCCCCCCCCCCCCCCGCGGGGGGCCCCCCCCCCCCCCCCCCCCCCCGCCGCCCCCCCCCCCCCCCCCCCCCCCCCCCCCCCCCCCCCCCCCCCCCCCCCCCCCCCCCCCCCCCCCCCCCCCCCCCCCCCCCCCCCCCCCCCCCCCCCCCCCCCCCCCCCCCCCCCCCCCCCCCCCCCCCCCCCCCCCCCCCCCCCCCCCCCCCCCCCCCCCCCCCCCCCCCCCCCCCCCCCCCCCCCCCCCCCCCCCCCCCCCCCCCCCCCCCCCCCCCCCCCCCCCCCCCCCCCCCCCCCCCCCCCCCCCCCCCCCCCCCCCCCCCCCCCCCCCCCCCCCCCCCCCCCCCCCCCCCCCCCCCCCCCCCCCCCCTTTCTTCCCTCCCCCCCGGGGCCGGGGGCGGCCCCCCCCCCCCCCCCCCCCCCCCCCCCCCCCCCCCCCCCCCCCCCCCCCCCCCCCCCCTCTTTTTCTCCCTTTTTTCCCCCCCCCCCCCCCCCCCCCCCCCCCCCCCCCCCCCCCCCCCCCCCCCCCCCCCCCCCCCCCCCCCCCCCCCCCCCCCCCCCCCCTTGTGTTGTTTTTTTTGGTTGGGCCGCCCCCCCCCCCCCCCCCCCCCCCCCCCCCCCCCCCCCTTTTTTTTTTTTTTTCCCCCCCCCCCCCCCCCCCCCCCCCCCCCCCCCCCCCCCCCCCCCCCCCCCCCCCCCCCCCCCCCCCCCCCCCCCCCCCCCCCCCCCCCCCCCCCCCCCCCCCCCCCCCCCCCCCCCCCCCCCCCCCCCCCCCCCCCCCCTCTCCCTTTTCCCCCCCCCCCCCCCCCCCCCCCCCCCCCCCCCCCCCCCTTTTTCTTTTTTTTTTCCCCCCCCCCCCCCCCCCCCCCCCCCCCCCCCCCCCCCCCCCCCCCCCCCCCCCCCCCCCCCCCCCCCCCCCCCCCCCCCCCCCCCCCCCCCCCCCCCCCCCCCTTTTTCCCCCTCCCCCCCCCCCCCCCCCCCCCCCCCCCCCCCCCCCCCCCCCCCCCCCCCCCCCCCCCCCCCCCCCCCCCCCCCCCCCCCCCCCCCCCCCCCCCCCCCCCCCCCCCCCCCCCCCCCCCCCCCCCCCCCCCCCCCCCCCCCCCCCCCCCCCCCCCCCCCCCCCCCCCGGTTTTTTTTTTCCTTCCCCCCCCCCCCCCCCCCCCCCCCCCCCCCCCCCCCCCCCCCCCCCCCCCCCCCCCCCCCCCCCCCCCCCCCCCCCCCCCCCCCCCCCCCCCCCCCCCCCCCCCCCCCCCCCCTCCCCCCCCCCCCCCCCCCCCCCCCCCCCCCCCCCCAGTATGTATATTGTTTGTTAAGTGAAAAAATTGTGTATGCAGTTTTTACTGTAAATTGCCTTTTTGTCAATCTTATAACAATTAAAATCTCATTATAACATAAATTTTTGCCTTTACAAAATAATTACCGTTTTTTTTTGTGATTATAATTTGATAGTTTTTGCCAGCCAAAAACGGCAAACTAAAACAGATAATAACTTAACAAATATATTTTTGAAATCTTTAAAAACTGTAAAGGCAAATTATGAAATTTTTTTCTGTAATTGACTAGTTAAAGTCACTTTACTTAATTCTTGCAATTAAATTTCCAGTTCTATCATATGGCAACCCCAGTGGAGATCCAGTATTGGTGGTCCACGGTCGACTGGACAGTGCGGCAACATTCATACCTCTATTAAAATTGCTTCCAACCAATTATCACTATGTCCTGTTTGACATGCCAGGACACGGGAGGTCAGATCCGTTTTGGAAAGGTATGAACTATGTCAATAAGTTTAAATTTTATGTTAAACAAAAACTGCTTGGAAAGGGTTATTATAACGTAAATAAATATATAAATGATAGAAATGCTTGGGGTGTCGGAACCCGCTCTATCAAGGAAGAAATGGACACAATGAGTGCGTAAGGAATATAAGGAAATGTAATAAAAACTTGGCAATTAAAAGGAGTGGCGGCGAGTTTCTCGCCAGTTCTTCTCGTTCGATCTACACCCTAACTTGGGAACTGGTAGTAACTGTAAACTTAGAGTTTTAAATGTTTAATGTTTTGGCGTTCATAAGTGTACTAAGCTACCTACATAAATAAATGATTTTTGTTTTATGTCAAATAATCTTATGGGTATTTTAATAAACCACTTTTAACGGTCTAAAACGAAAAATAATAATAACTAATTCATAAAGTATTTTTAACTACGAACCGATGTCTAACGTGACTACAGTTAAAGTTTTAAAGCACCTGACACGTCGAGTTAACAAATAAATTTCGCGTTTTAAACCGTTAAAAGGGTTTTATTTAAATTTGAATATGTTTTATTGTGAATCGTTACTATGGGAATATGGGAAAGTTTTACTTAGATATAATTGACTTTGATACTGAATAAAAAAGAAACTGGTTCTAAATCTAAAATTTATTTTTATTGTATTTATTTTCAGGCCAGTTGCCTAACCGTTTCTTAGGGGTTCCTGTGATCGAACTCGTGGTAAAACACTTGCGATGGAAAGAATTCATCTATATCGGACATTCCCTTGGCGCAGAGCAAGGTAAAATTTACAGACATTTTTCATCGATATAAATAATTTTTGTTTCTTCTTATGATAGAGGACATAGGCATAGCGTAGTTAATAGAAGGTAAAACATCCCAGCCATATAACATTCTAAACAAGATGCGCTGTCGATCTATTTTGGCTTTGGATATCGGAAATTCGGAATCCGAAATGCGATTAAGGGTCTTAGCACACATATGGGATCGGAAAGGGATCGTAACCGTAACGCCTTTCGCCTCGCTGTCAACCAGGCGTCAACCTACCGTACGCACGTAACGAAAGCGTATCAGCAGCGCCTGTACGTCAACTCGGCTACGGCTAGGCGACACCGCGCTTACGCCTCGTCGCCCGAAAGATATTGGGTACACAATATGAATAAAGCAAGGAGGACGCAAGCGCGGGGACGGAGAGACGTAAGCGCGGGGACGATGAGCCGTAAGCGCGGGAATTGCAAGTTCGGAGCCTGTTCCTAGGCGAGGCGATTACGTTATGATTCCGATTAGTGTGCGTTGCAGTAGGGAGTTTAATACAAACCATTCTGAACGGCTCGAGGCGTTACGGTTACGATCCCTTTCCGATCCCATATGTGTGCTGAGACCTTAAGCTGTCATCTGTGGGCAGAGTTCGTGACCAGACGGGATTTTCGATATACCTACCATTTAATAACCAGATTTCCAGACAAAATTCAACATGTTTCCTGAAAAAATTTGGTCCCGGTGGAGAACGAACTTACGGCCCGTTGATTAGCACTATTATTTCACCTTCTATCCAGAGAACCCCAGAACAACGAAAAATTCACTTCAAATACTTTATTTTTTTGTCTATCATTTGTGATGATATATAAATAGGCAGTTGAAATAGCAAAAAGTGAAAGCACGTTTCCCCGTCGTGCCCCATGGGGCAAACACATTTGTGTGCCCGTTTCACTGATCCGTTCTTTAACAGGCAAGTAGTTTAAATAAAACACTTTAACGGTTTTAAAACCCCATTTTTTTAGTTAATCTGTTTGAATGATTTTTAACTTCGGCCGAGTTTCGGATGCTCCCCGTGCCCACGGCTGCTGTGTCGCCCGACTCGCCGTTAACAAATTTTCAATGTTTCTAATATCAAAAATCGGGATTCGAACCCGTTAAAGTGTTTATTTAAATGTGTCCTACTCGCGCTTCCAAGTAGTTGATCAGACTTCTGTGCCCCGCCCGACCGTATGTCGGGTTCGAACCCAAGACCTCTCGCGCCTCCCCTTTTGGTACAGAGGCGGTCAAATAGCAAAGTATACAATATTAGTGCATATGGATGCACGTTCCGTATCGTTCTGGGTAAACATGGGTTTACCCAGAACGATACGGAACCTTTTGTACGCGAATCCACCTCGATCTTCTAACCACAAAATATTGTTTCCAGGTCTATTCTACGCAGCAATGTACCCGAAACAAATAAAGAAAGCCATTTACTTTGACATCGGGCCGTCGGTCATATATTGCTGTCCGCAGCACTTTCGTAACCACTTCCAGGCGACGTACGAGGCGTATTACGACAACTATCGAAAGTACGACAGCGAGCGAACGATGACAGAGGGGGAGGCGAGACAGTCTGTCACAAACGCTCGGCAATTGAGCGACGAAGATGCAGATATTGTTCTGTCGAGGAATTTGGTGGAGGTCAGCCCGGGTTCTTATAAGTAAGTATTGAAGAGTTTAAATAAAGCACTTGAACGGTTTAAAACGCGATATATATTAGTTAAACGTTAGGCGTTTCTTTTTTAGAGTAGTCTCACTAATCCATACTAAATACTGTCTGTAATTTACGCGAGTAGTTAGGATTTAAATAAAATACTATATTACGCTTTAAAACCGCGGTATATATTGGTGAACTTATTTGGAAATTATTTTTTATATACCGCGTTTTGGACCGTTAAAGTTTATTCAATGAGTTTAATAGGGACTACTGTTTCGAATTTAACAATTATTTTTGTATTGAATAGAATTTGTCTCTTTTATTAAAAAATATATATATAAAAAGAAGAAGAACAGCGTAAGGTGCTTTATTACGCTGCGACTAATAAGAGCGGAGAAAATTGTATTTTTCATCTATCAGGGCGTTGCGTGCAATTTACGAAACGTATTCCATATTAAACGTATTGAACCTGCATTCACAGGGTGCCCAGCTTTAATTGGGCTATCGTGTGCTAAGCGCATGACATAATTATAATGTTATTCTCCCCTTTTCAGATTAACTTGGGACAGGCGTTTCAAAATACTGCCCGGCTTCAACTCGCTCCACTCCGATTTCTACCACGACCTGTTCACGATGCACCCGACGCCAGCATTGTTTATCTGTGCTAAAGACATGAGGGCCTTCTACCAGCCGTCAGGTCTGGCTGTCAAAGTCATGTCAACTTTGACAGCGCGCGCAAACGTCAAAGTCATTTGGGTGGACGGCGGCCATGATGTACATTTGACGAATCCGGAGCGTTTTGCCAGCGAGCTAGTACAATTTTTAGAGAGCGATGTAGCTAGATCTAAATTGTAGGATTTTTTAATTATATTATTTAAAATAATTTATTCGAAATATTTTAAATAATATAATTAAATTTTAATTTTAATTTAAGTTTTTTGGCGATATGGTTACGTGTAAAATTGTTAACGTAATTTATTTATTTATTATTCCACAAAAAATAATCATGATACAGAATAAATACTTATATACTAGAATGGGGTGGAATCTGCGACCTTATCGCTAAAAAGCGATCCTTCCAGTCAACCTAAATTTAATGATTACCTGTATTCAGCTGCTCTTTTTTAAATACTGTCTATAGTTTACTGTATTCAGTTGCTCTTTTTTATCAGCATTTTCAATAAGGTTACACCTAATTGCTCAAAAATATATTGGCATCAACGCCATCTCAAAAGCCTCCTTCGGTCTTTAACTAAAGTGGTATATATTATGTGCGATGGGTTTCAGAGTGTAATGGACAAACTTATCTATTTCACTAAGTGGTTTGGTGATCTCTACCTCTGTGGAGACTGTATTTCGCATATTCTTTGGTCCTTATCATATTGGATCCTTCTACACTGCAAGGAACCTTGACAGCAGCGAGGGATCTTGTTCGTTCAATATCGTAGACCGGTGCTCTGGAGACAAAGGCATTTTACTCCTACATTGAAATGTGCAAGCTAAAATGCAACACTACTTTCAGCATCTCAGAGACGAAATCTCCCACCCACCTGGTAGAATATCGATTTCTCATAATCTTTGGTCTGTCATATTGGATCCGCCCACACTGCAGCAACTTCCTGATGGCAGTTAGAACCCTGGCGGTTGTTCATACTGGGGTTACTATAGCACAGCCTTTAGTTTAGCGCCTGGACTAGTGGTACAAATAAACATTCGATATTATATGCCCTATTGATCATTTGCAAAGAAACTTGGTCTGCAGAGATGGCTATACAAACTCGCATTACCAAGCTTGGCCTGGCACCGTTAATTTATGACTTAGTAAAAAGCACACTACACACCTGCAATAGTCACTTCTTTCAACGGAGATTGTAGTCCAAGATCCAAGTATTTCTGTAGTTCTGCTCCAAGCTTGGCTTGGTACTGCTAGTTTAGAACTTAACTTACCATAAAAAGCACCAATGCTTGAAAAGCCATCCGTCAGTGCCACTGCTGCCAATGGTCACGGTTTCCAACTTCTGTGATTTGTAGTCTAAAGTCTAATTCTGTTCTGTGGTTCCGCTCCAAACTTGGCTTGGTACTGTTAGCATAGAGCTTAACATAATAAGCACCAATGCTTGAAAAGCCATCCGTCAGTGCGACTGCTGCTATGGTCCGGTTTTCCAAATCTGTGATTTGTAGTCAACTCTACTCTGTGTATTCCTATTTTAATTATAAGCCGGTTTCTCCAGCTTATCAAGAGAGGCCCTTCGACTTCTATATTGAACCTGCACGAGTTAAAGACAACGTCCTCCGCTGTTGACATGGAAAGACTTGGCGTGAGTTTATAGGTGGAGTGAACGATGCGTAAATTCTTCCCAGTGTAAATTTCCACCACCTTCTTCCAGATCCTGGTTTCCCCATATTCCTTGTTCCTTGTCATATTGGATCCGTTCACACTGTACCGAATTTTCGAAATACCTTAACTGTAGAGGTTGAGGAATATCAGTAGGCAACTCTAGCCTCTCTGGTCATCTAAAGTTTCCAAACGGTTGTCTGGAGGCTAACGCCTTAAGTGAAGTTTTATTTGCGGTACATCAAGTCCTCTTTAGCGGCCAAGGGCGAAGTTGGAGGAGTCGGACACACCACTAATTCCTATGGGTCGAAGCACTTAGGTACAGGGTTCTTCTGACCACGGGATGACCACATTCTACCTTGCCACTTTTGACTAATGATGTGTTAATATTGGCTCACAAACCGGCTGTACCAAAGTCCATCCAACTCCTGGTGAATTTCTTTGTAGCTACTTTGCCACCCCGGTTTTAAGTCCTTAGCGGTTATGGGTCAAATGACGACCTTTACCCATTTCTGTGAAGTGTTGTCCATCTTAGATATATTAAATATATAATTTAAATTATGTTTGAAATCTCGAGGTGGAATCAAGGATTTGTATTATTTATTTTTATATATTTGTATGTGCTGTATTATTACTTTATAATAAGCTAATGAATATTATACTACGGGTGATATTAATATAAATAAAGTCTTATTTGTGATCTTTTTATTGTGTAATTATTGTATTTACCATTAATATTAATTAGTTAGCATTAATCTTAAGTTTCATTAAGCACGAGTCCTGGGTTCGAATCCAGTGGAAACCAAAAGTTCGGTGAGTCTTGGTGCGAAATCTTAGCAACTACTAGATTGAAAAATATGACGGCTGAGCGGTAGCGCCGTCACCATCTTGATTTGGTGGTACAGGGTTCATTCCGCAGGCGTAGAATAATGTACACGTGGATTATAACCTCACTTTATTTGCAATGATTAAAATTAAATGGACCAAAAACGTTGGTAACCCGCCAGTTTCGTTTTAGAGGTGTGAACTGTGCCGCGTCCCGAATAGGAACTCTAATACGACTGTCCACGTGCCGCCATTACAATAACAACTGACGTCACGGTGCTTACCCCTCCCTCAGTACTACAATAGTCAAATCAGCAACTTAGTATTTAGCGATATCGTTTTCCACGACAAATATTTTAATAGCAAAGGAAGAATAATTAAAACGAAATACATTTTTCAACTTTAGCCCCGCTTAACACCAATATTTTTTTTGTCTCCCTTGACATTATTTTTTTTTATATTTCCCTAGATAATTCGGCAAACGTTGTGTTGCCATATAAATAGAAATATTTTTTATACAAATTAAAGATAGAAACCTATTCTCAGACCTGACGAAAGTATATAAAAAAATGATTAAAATCGGTTAAGCCGTGATACAGGTATTCACACACAAATCGTGAGGAGTGTATATTATAAGTTGCTACAGGACTTCGTCTAGTGAAGAATATTGCTTAGCATCCAAATTTGTTTTTGTACCTCTACATCTTCTCATCATCAGAATCTACATCAGGAGAAATCATTCTTTCATACATATTTTTCCGCAGCGTGCGCATCTGAAATCCATAGAAATGAAAAACTCCCCCCGTTTTGTTCACATTTCCCGGTATATCTTCGCTTCTATCTAGTCTTAAGCCTTCCTCGATAAATGCTCTAACCAATACAAAATAACCTAACCCGTAGTTCCTGAGATTGGCGCGTTCAAACAAACAAACTCTTCAGCTCTATATATTAGTATAGATTTAAACAATCTTAATACATACTTTATCTAAAAATCGAAAATAAATGAATTTTTTTTTTACTCGGGCAGGACTTGACCCGGCATCGTCAGCTTTCCGTGCTGTTGCTCTACCAATTGAGCTACCGAGCCCTACACCTCATCTTCGAATTTTTTTTCAACTTATTGATGTACATATACATGCATCTCTCGCGCATTGTAATTTCAACCTTAACATTTGCGTATTAAGGTTCAACGAAGACGAAATTACAAAGTTATAACGTTTGAAAACATTAATATTGTTTACATGTTATTGCACATGAAGGCACCATATAATTTATTTTCGATTTTTATATTATATGGTGCCTTCATGTGCAATAACATGTTAACAATATTAATAATTTCAAACATACTTTATCTTCAGACAAAGATAAATAAAAACCCCTTCATCATAACTTCGATTTATTCTCCAACAAGAAACCAGCGATATCATCTGCCATCAATTCAGGATCGCTAAGATGCACATCGTGGTATCCTGGTACTATTTTGTACTTATAGTTGTTGGGCCAAGAGTGAAGGTCGAACGCGAAGGGTACTCGGGAGTACACTCCGCTATCCACGATGTGTTCAGCAAATATGGCGAAGATCGGTATTTTGGTTGAAGTCAATATCAGTTTCAAATTGTCAGCAGAGCAGGGCATCGTGACTGGGTTCTTCATTCGCTGATCGTATGTGAATCTGGAATATGACTCTTGTTAGGGCTAGTTGGCGTAATGGTAGCAATGGATGGCTGGTAATCAAACGGTGGGGTCGATCCCCACCAAAAATCGTTAATAAATTTAAAAAAAATACGCAAATGAAAAATTGCTATTATATCGAGCGATTCATTTTTTATTATGATTTGACGTATTAAGCCGGGACTTCGAATACTAACCGGACATTTGCATGTTTGCGGCTAGACCAAGGGTGCCCTAAGGGAGGCATCTACCTCGGCTTGGACCGCCGCAATGCGGGTTAGAGCTTGAAGATTTGGACGGAAGCTCACCCGGGTGAGCGGTACGCGGAGCGGATGACCTCGCCGGCGAAGGGGGTTTTGCTGACGATCGACGCCGGCGCCGATGGATCGCGTTGTGACTAGCGTATCGACGGCTTTATTAAGTCGTCGTCGGGGTCGATGAGAACGTTTCGCGTCCTTCCCGTTACCGTCGCCTACACCATTCCCGTTTATTGACAGGAACGGTGTAGTTGGTGGCCCTGGCCACCAGTGGGTTCGGATACGACGCGGCTTTTTTAAAGAAGCGTTCGGACGTTATTTGAAGTACCGACTGAGGGTCGGCAATTCGAGATCGGCGTGGAGGTTGGCATTCCGTATATCGAGCGAGAGGTGCATGTATAGGTTGAAAAAAATCGACGATGACGTGAAGTAGGTACTGTGTAGCTCATTGGTTAGAGCAACAGCAAGGGAACGCTGGATGGATGGTGGATATAGGGTCAAGTCCTGCCCGAGTCGTAATTTTAGTCGATTTTTAATTTACATAGTGCCATCATAAACAAATGAAAGTTTTCAATTTATAATTTTTCTGAAACACTTGCTTCGTATGGAAATCTGGATACTAAATTAATGGTGGGAACATCGAAATTCCGTCTGGGTCACGTCACTGGTCGCTACCATACACAGAAAAAGTTGTAAAGTTTTATCGCATTTCAGTCTGTGGATTTCCGAATCATGTTGAGACATTATATGGCCGAGATATGTCACTTTTCATCAAGTGGAATCACATTATTGTCTGTCCTATATTATAAGACAATTTTCTGTAATGGATGTAAACATCGTTTTATTTAATCTGTACCACTCGCATAAACTACAGATAATACTTATTAATATAGAATATATTTATTTTATATAGCAGCATAGTTTGTAGAGTTTTATTATTTTTACATACCACAAAAGAAATAACAATCTTACGTACTTATAAATAAAGTCAAAGAGAAGAAATAGAAAAAGGCCGTACCTGTATAAATTTCCCCCAGCTGGCTCGACGTATCTATCTAAAATGTGCTCAACTGCTTTTTCGTTTAGTCTATGGGCTCGCATAACACGTTTTTTAATCTGTAATATTAGAAATTTATATGAAAGCTAAACACTGTCTATAGTTTACGCGAGTAGTACACATTTAAATAAAACACTTTAACGGTTTAAAACGCGATATATTAGTTAAACTTATTGGGAAATGACTTTTAACTTCGGCCCGACGTTTCGGATGCTTAGCAGCAGCCGTCATCACGGGGAGACGTTAAAAATCATTTTCAAATAAGTTTAACTAATATATCGCGTTTTAAACTATATGAAGGTTGTTAATTAATCTAAGTTTAACTGTAGACTCAGCGTATTCCTAATGTATCAGTCGATGTGTCCGTTATTTTATCATTTGAGGTAAAGGCAATTTCTTAAATTCGAACAGAATTTTTTTAGAAAAATTCTGGCACTAGCTGATTCCAAAAGTTATCTCTCTATCTGACAAGACACACGATTCTAATCAGCTTGTAAATTTGCTACTAAACTGCAATTAGATTAATTTTGATTCGCCATTCTAATATGTCTATACTTTTTTATGACAGAGGCAGACAAGCTCAGCTACATATATAAAACGCGTTGAGGACGTATTTCGAAAACACAGACAAACTAAACGTGAACAAAACTATGGTATCGTCGATCGAATGAAATTCTTGCTACCGAAAAGCATTAAAATCGTCGGGTCATTGGTCATTACTAATGGACTGCACTGGAAAGGACTGGAATGGACTGGAAAAGACTGGACTGGACTGGACTAGATTCTGCACTACACCCACCTCCTCCAGCGTGTACTTCGGGGCAGTTTCCTTCCCATTGGCGTGTTTTGCATACTGGTCGTCATCGTAGTTGCTGCGGTAGTATTCTTTGTACCAGGCCTGGAACGTTTCCGGGGTCACAGTGTGGTAAAGGGGTATTGGGTCCAATTGCACGAAACGGGTCACTTTCCCCGGATACGCCATGTTGTAATAAGTGCCTGACAATATGTGTGAAAGTTGTGAAGTGATTGTGAAGTGCTTGTCTATCACTTCACAATCACTTCGCTGTCGATCTATTTTGGCTTTGGATATTCGGAAATTAAACGAAAGGCTTTGACGTTGTTCTTGGCCCGGACGGAATTTCGATATTCCTATCCATTTAAAATCTTGATTTCCTTATAAAAAATTATAAAAATTTCCCGATCCGGTCTCCGAATCCGGAACGCCCTGATCTGGGTGGCTGAAGGCATTGATCCTATTTTTATTATCCTCCTTATTGAAAATCTTGCTTTCTGTTATTAGGCCACTCTGCCTCTAGCTGCCTCATACAATGCCATCATGTGCAATAACATGTACCAAATAATACCTACTTACCAACTACAGTTCCCAAAGAATGACCTATAAACATGATCTTTTCCCATTTGAAATGTTCCACCACCTTCACAACAGCTGGCACCATATCGAAGACCGTAAACCTCACTCCAGGTGGAAGGTGGTCCGAGAGACCGTTACCCGGGAGGTCCATAGCGACATAGAAGAAGCAATTTGGGAGGAGGTGGACTAGAGGCCGAAACGAAGAACAGGGTACCATTTTCCCGGGACACAGTAATACTGGTGGGTTTGAAGAGTTGCCCCAGGTCAAAGCTGGAATCAATAATTTAATTTGAAAAGTTATAATAAAATATTTGTAATTAACGCGAGAAGTACACTTTTAAATAAAACACGTTAACGGTTTAAAACGAGATCTGCAAGGATCCGACCAGTTTCGCCAAATACCAACTTCGACGGAACAGATGGCTAGCGCAGAATTTTTTTCCATCTTTAGTCTCCCCGTGACCACGGTTACTGCAAAGCATCCGAAACAACTAACCATAGTTAAAATAAATTCCCAACAAATATAACTAATATATATCGCGTTTTAAACCGATTAAATGTGTACTACTCGCGTAAACTACAGACACTATTTAGTTTAAATATTTATAAAAAACGGTGAAGAGATCGAATCCACGATCTCGACTTATTAGCCATACATCGACTACCATTAAACCAACGAGCACGTCTAAACGTGTTTCAAACCATTAAAAGAGTTTTATATTTACCTGTCGCTAAGCTATACAGATATAATATAATATAATACTTAAGTCTGACTTAAATGGCGACTTAATTTATCGCAAATTTCATATCGCTTACTTCAGAATTGCCGCCTAAAACTCGGTTACCTGCAATTTTTCCCCATTGCGCTTGTATAGTTACATTCTTCTCCGTATTAGCTAAAGAACTCATGACTCTGTAATTAATATTATTTATAATAAATTTTAAATTAAATTTACTTAATTATCATTAAATTATTATTTTTTGTTTTCAAAAAGTACAAAAAATCCTATAGTACCCTTATGTTAGGCATGAGATATGTTATACTAACATACCTTAACTTATATACATAACTCGACGGTACCTGGATTTGTAGAACAGCGCAAAGGTGGTGAGTTCGAGTCCCATCAATTTTACATTTTTTTTTAAATTATTGTGTCCTTCTCCCGTGACCACGGCTGCTGCAATTTGCCAAATGTTGTTGAAAGTGATGAAACATAATATTTCGCGACTGAGTAGAAAACTTCTTTTCGTGTTGGTTAGATCATTTATCGAGGAAGGCGCGCAGTGACTAAAGGAAGCGAAGAAGCAGCGGGAAATGTGGACATACGGAATACGGACAACATTTTTAGAGTAAAAAAAATATTCTTCTCTAAACGATCTACATAAATGTCCCCGACAGTTAATGTCTATCTTTTAAGACTACCTTTCAAGGATGACGGGAGACGACCAACCGCGAGTAACTTATAAAGATGGAGAAGACGTTTACAAAAACAAATGTAGATGCCCAAAGTAACTATTCTACGCGGTCGAAGTCAGCACATAGCTAGTATATACTATTCGCGTTATACATAAACAAAACAGCACATTTTAAACTTACTTTGTATCTAAAACTTACGTTTTTATTGTAGAAAACACTCTCATACCGCGGACGCTATAACTATTCACTAACGATCAAAATCAACAACCCCCGCCCAAACATAAAAAAAAAAATCCCAAAAAAACCAAAAAATTTTTTTTTTCCCCCCCCCCCCCCACCCCCTCTAAGATAAGTGACGTATAAGATAATTGTAGATACAGGGACGAGTGGCAGCGATTAAAGTCGATCGACTTCAATCGTCGGTTAACCTAAATTATTTTTTTAAGATTGACAATCTTGTCACGCTAGCCGATTGGTTAGAGCAGCACGGAGTGCTGTGGATGCCGGTTCAAGTCTTGCCCGTGTCGTCATTTCAATCTAAAATCATTGAAAATATTAAAGTTTTCAAACGTCGGTTAACGGACGGACATTTGTCGACATAATGTTGTTCATACTTTCAAACTGTCTAATTCAATAAATAACAATACTTCCAATAAAAATTCTATCTAGATTTTACTTTGCCGTGTTCGTAACGTGATATTAGTAATAACTGCCTCTCGTGGTAATAACTATAGAAAATTTTAGTTGGAACTCTAGTTTAACGTGGAAGGTTATTTCCGAATGACCTAAACCAGACAGTTGACAGTGCATCTTGTTAAGATATAGTTGGGGTAACACGTGTAGCCCCTGGTTGTCTCTCCACTGTTATAAAGTAAGTGTTATAAGTAAATATCTGCAATTTTCAAGGTTTTGCTTGCTTGCTTCGAAGCAAGCAAGTTAAAACGACTAGTGTAGTGTTAAAACAATACTTTTCAGTCGTTACTAGTAGCCAAAATTTGCATAACTCAAAATTTTATATAAACTCAAATAAAACATTTGAACAGTCTAAAACACGATAAATATTAGTTAAACTTATTTGAAAATTATTTAACTACCGCTTGACTTTTCGGATGCTTTGCCGCAGCCGTGGCCTTGAGGAGGCCACGTTATAGATCATTTCCACAGCTTATTTAGACACATGACATTATTTAATTAGATTTCCCCGTGGTCAAGGGATAATAGAACTAGCTGTGTCAGCGACTTCGTCCGCGAGAATCGTTATTTTGGGCATCCAAATTCGTTTTTGCACACCTTCTCCATCTTTGTTTTTTTATTTATATAAACTTAACTGTTAATTTGTGATTAGTGCAACCGGTCCTTCTGTTTGATCAAATCAATAAAACAAATTAAATATTAAAGTTCATAATTCAATAAATTTTATCATTTTCCTAAATAACTAACGCGAGTCCTTGAAATCTAGTTATTACTAGTGTTTGCCCGAGACTTTGTCCGCGTTGAATAATGATATTCATTTTTCTAATTATCAAAAGACATCTTTTAAAAGACGTGATAAACTTTATTTTCTTCATGTTAATAATTTGTAGATAATATTTTGGTAGAAAAAAGTAACTATTATGAGTGTGTGAAGATATATGTAGTATATGAGTGAAAGAGACGAAAAATAAAGATTAAAACCTATTCTCCAGGCTTTAAAAAATTTGCCAAAATTTCATTAAAATCGGTTAAGCCTTTCGAAGTCATTCGCTCACAAATACTTAAACAGGAAACATTTTTATATAATATTAAAAAATCCACGTCCGACGAATGTTGGTTTGTTCATTCATTTAGGTGACAGCTAAAACAGGTGATGAAAATATTGCGAAATTTATCAAGTACCTACTGCCTGCTACATTAAGACCTATATATTCTCACTTAGCAGTCCCTAACAGTGGGACCAATTGAAGACAATGAAATAAATAGCGCTTTAGGGACTTCTATGTTACGCGGCATGATACAAAATAAACGCCTGATTATAAATCTTGCGCAATGCGTTATAAAATAAATAACAATAAAAACAAATGTCAACCATTTCTCCCAGTATGTCACTTGTGTCTCCGTTTCACGGACAGCGTATATATAGATGGGAATATTTATAGACACGTAGTTCTGATCTGCTGTGCCCGAAACACTAAATTGTGTCTTCGACACGTTTAAGGGGAAATAAAACGCGTTTTAAACCGTTAAGTGTTTAATTTAAATGTTGTACTACTCGCGTAAACCAAACACAATACAATAATACATATATGAAATTTGTCATGTCCGCTACGACACGACTGCTGCGTCGGGTTGCAGTTAAATTTTCAATAAAAAGTCGCGTTTTTACCCGATCTAAAGAATTCTTTAGAATAATTACTAATAAATAAGATATATTCGTGATGAGGAAATATAACCAAAAATAATAAAAAATATAGCCATTCCCCACTAAAGACGCAACAGCTCTTAAACCCAAGCAGACAATCTGTCAAGCTACGTCACCAGCCATACGCACCAGAACATACCCGTTCCCCAAAACGAATGTTTCATTAGTTTATCACAACAGACGTAACAAAATAACCTGTTCACAGGTCATTACCAACAGTGTTGCCGTTTGCGAAGTTTTTCCTTATTTTGTGCAAAATGTACTTATACACCACACAACACTAGCTGTTATCGCGACTTCGTTCGCGTGAAATAGTTATTTTAGGCATCATATTTATTATGCAAACTCCCTCGGCTTTGTAAATTATAACTTTTGTAAAATTTCTGTAAAATTTTTGGAAAATTTTTGTAAAGTTTTTGTAAAATTCTTTAAAATTGTGTAAATTTTTACAGTTCTGAAGCTAAAAGTGAAAACTTTTAATTGGCTCTCTGATATGTAATATTTTATATATAATATCCTATTGTTATTAGCTGTAAGTTTTCCATGTTTTAATAAATAAATAAATAAATAACTGTTACCAACGACGTCGCCCGCGTCCCGTCGTTTTTGCGAGTCATATTATTTCTTACGATAATTTAAAGAGGAATTATTCTTTATATTTTCCGCAGAATTAAACCATTTTCGCAGCGCACGCAATGAAAGCATTCAAGGATACATTCGTCAAGTAAATTAGTAACAGAGTAGAAAACTTTGCAGTTTTTTTTTTCACCGCGTCTGCTTTCCTGGTTCCGTACATACATGGCAAATGATAATAATTTCACTCAAATAGAGCCCAGAAGTCTTATCGACTACTCGATTCCAAATTTATCAGTGTAACAGACGCAAAAATGTATCTGTCCCAGTTTAAAAATTAAAAAAACAATCATGTCTGTATCGTAAATTTTTTCAATTTATTTTCGATTTTTAATTAATAACGTACATAATTGTTGTGAAATGTTGTCTCTTCGCCTGGCAACACCGGTCAGTTCGCTTGGTTTTTCCGAGCGAAGATCTCGCTCGATCAATCCGCGTTGATTTATTATTCTTGTAAGATGCATAGTTGATATCTAGTCATAGTTTTTAGTTTAGTTGTTCTGTGCAAAATGTTTTGTTATATTTGTGTGTTAACCTTGTTTTTACTAGGTAAGTTTAAAAGATACAAATACGTCATTCTTCAAGTATTTTTATTAACTACCTACATTTTGTGTTGTCTGTGGCTTAGAAAAAAACACTTATGTTTGAAACTGGAAGTACATTGTGGTGTGAGGTTTGAGTAGAAAATAACAGAAACATTTCGCGTTTTAAACCGTTTAAAGTTATTTAATGCCTAAGCTGTTTTGTCTATTGAGATTTTAGTCTGTTAAACATGATATACACGGATAAATCAAATAACAAAACTTAAGTATTGTTACGAAAACATTTTTTTAGTTCTTATTTGTTGCAGCAAACATTTTGTTGTTTGCAAGATTAATATTATTACAATTCTAACAAGTAATTGGTGAATTGGTATTATTTTATATAAAACACTTTAACGGTTTAAAACGCGATATATATTAGTTAAACTTGTTTGAAAATTATTTTAACTACCGCCTAACGTTTCGGATGCTTCGCAGCAGTGGTCACGGGGAGACCTATAGTTTTATTTCAATGTACTACTCGCGTAAACTACAGAAAATATTTAATTCATTATTTTTACCATGAAAACGGCACTTGCGAGTTAATCTCAAAGGACAGACATACTGTCGTCGACATTTTTTATATAATTGTAACAACTTAACTAACAAACATGATTGATACATTTAATTAAAACACTTTAATAGTTTAAAACGCGATATATTAGTTAAACTTATGATTATGATTGATACATTTTTATGGTCTCCTTCCACAGTTTCTTCACTCCCATTAGATGCCACTTGTTATATAGCCTAAAGCCTTCCTCGATAAATGGCCTAACCAGCACAAAAAATAGTTTTCAATTGGAACAAACAAACAAACAAACTTCTAAGCTTTATAATATTAGTATATATATGTAATTTCTTAGTGTTTGTGTGTATAATAGAAAAAATGTCGAACAACCTCGCTTGCGTTAGCTCGGCCTCTGAAGGGGCCACTGAATATCAGTGTTGGGACATTAGTCCCAACGTAGCTGAGTGGCTTCCTTTTAAGAGGCAACTATGTATATTGGTGTATTTATTTAATAATTAAATTTGTATGTTTGTAGAATAAGTTTTAACTGTGAATGTTTATTTGTTGTTCGTGTGTTGTTTCTGAATAAACGTATTTCTATTCTATTCTATTCTACCATTCAGATATTTAAACTAAAATTGTAAAGATACTAGATACTGTCTATAGTTTACGCGAGTAGTACACATTTAAATAAAACACTTTAACGGTTTACAACGCGATGCTAGTGAAACTTATTTGAAAATGATTTTTAACTTCGAGAACGTGGTCATGGGGAGACAGTCTCCCCGTGACCACGGCTGCTGCAAAGCATCCGTAACGTCGGGCCGAAGTTAAAAATCATTTACAAATAAGTTTAACTAATATAACGCGTTTTGAACCGTTAAAGTGTTTTATTTAAAATTGTAAAGATACTGTTATCAAAATGTAATTAAGTTTTAAAATCATCTATAGTTACAACTTTTGCGGTTTGTAATCACACTACGGGTTTTCACCGCAAACTAATTACAACTAAATCTAACTTACTAATACGCAGCAGGAAAATAACGCCCGAAAACAAGACTTAGATATTTTATTCGTCTGTTTTCGATGTTAACACTTTAACGTTTTAATCTCCTATGTCTATGTCTCCCCGTGACCACGGCTGCTGCGAAGCATCAGAAACGTCGGATCTTAGTTAAAATAGTTTTCATATAAGTTTCACTAATATATATCGCGTTTTAAACCGTTAAAGTGTTTTATTGAAATGTTAGCTACTCGGTCTGTAGTGGCAGCTAAACAAAATGCGCTGTCAATCTATTTTAGCTTTGTATATTAGGAAATCCACAGACTGAAACCGAAGTCCGATTGACCCGAACGGAATTTTGATATTCCTACATCCACCAATATTTAGTTTTCCAGACGACACTGAATATATTTTGGAAAAATTATAAATTGATTAGAAAAATATTGGACCCGGTGGGGATCGAACCAACAACCTGCTGATTATTGATTATAGATTGCTACCATTGCACTAACGTATCTATCAAAAGGAAATTCTTATAACGTAATAAAAATTAATGGTTAAGGGCGTTTGGCTAAAAAGAACCGTTTTTTGTATGAGTAAAAAATTATTTGAAAATTTTGAACATAGTAAATGGTACGGAACCCACCACGTCTGAATTTGACCAGCACTTGACATTGTCTGTAGTTTACGTGAGTATATACACCTTTAAATAAAACACTTTCAACGGTTTGAAACGCGAAATCTTCATCTTCATTAAGTTCAATAATTTATCCCCAACCTATCGACCCAACGTATCGACGCAAATCAAAAATTAATAAACTAGTATATTTCGCCATTTAAACCGTTAAAATTGTTTTATTCCAATTCTTAATTTCTTTCCAAACATTAATTCAAGTAATTTGTTGAATCCGGTATCGGCGCAAAAAATAAGGAAAATGCGTTGAGAGATAACAAACAGGCAAAGTCACGAGCAAGGTGATGTAACAATAGGCTACCAATAAATAATAACTACCTAATAAGACCACTAACTGAACGAAACGGACATACTTGTGTGTCTGTTTACTGTTTAGTTAAAACTAACCTAATCTAAACCATATCTAGTGTCTGTAGTTATCGAGAGTAGTAGACAATAAAATGAACCACTTTTAACGGTTCAAAACAAAAAGTAATTATTGTCTGTCGTTTATGAAACTAGTAGATATTAAAATAAACCACTTTTAACGGTTTAAAACAAAACGTAAGTATTGTCTGTAGTTTACGCGAGAGGTAGACATTTAAATTAAACACTTTAACGGTTTACAACGCGAAATATATTAGTTAACTTATTTAAAAATATTTGGGGTAGTAGTTAATAGAAATCAAAAATAAGTTAACCAACGTGTCGTGTTTTAAATGGTTACTAGTGTTTTATTTAAATGTGCACTACTCGCTTAAACAACAGACAATATTTTCTTTTTGTCCTCAAGAATTTTCTTATTGAGTTAGATGTTCCAAATATATCCTTTAGACATAGTATCTTTCCACTTTGACCCAATGATCAAAATATTTACAGATTTGTCGTCGGTCTTGTCTTCTCATATAAGGGACAATAGTGTTGTATGCAGGTAAGATTTTTATTTTTTTTCCTATAAAACACACTTTTTCTTACTTGAATGACGTTTGTTGTAACGTAAGGCTAATAATCGATGGGCCGTGGGTCAGATCCCCATCGGGTCCAACATATTTGATTTCGTCTCGTTCTGCGTAAATTCGTGGCTATTGTACATCCCATCGTAGTAATAACAGTTTTAGTAGATTTACAAACATCTAAAGCCTATATAGATCGACAGCACATCTTCTTCACATGTTATATGGCTGTGGTATTTCTAACAAATAAATCCCATGCGTGGGTATCCTTCTTCATCATAAAAAATGTATTATATTTGACTCTAACAAAAATAATAATGTATAATATAGTCATAAATTCATAAATTGATTTTAGTGGACTTAGTGTTAGTTGTCAGCTGTATTGTGGTAGCATTCAACGAACGAGCCGGAAATAAAATGTTAACTATTTACTAGCATTCTTAAAAGAGTATCACAATTAGTAAAAAATACTTTTAATCATCAGTTTTGATGAGTTCCCATGTGGTGATGGCGCCTGCATCAGCATCGACCAGTCTTGCGATGGAAAACCTGACTGCTTCGACTCCAGCGACGAAGCGTTCTGCCAGGGACTCGGGTAAGTGAAGTAAAAGGCCGGCAACGCATTTCCGATGGTTACCGAAAAATCTCAGTTAGTTTAATTAATTTTAACAGTTTAAAACTTAGCGGTTTGTAAATTAAACACTTGAATAAATGCCTGACTTTAATACACGTTACAATAAATATCGAAAGTGGGAACAACATGGATGTGAGACAGACTAAAGAGACGAATGTTCATATTCTATCAGTTTTAAACCGTTAAAAGTGTTTTATTCGAATGCGTGCTGATCGCGAAATCTAGAGACATTACTAAACTAGCATTTAAAACTTACATTTTAATTTTTTCTTTATGATGAATTTTATCAAAATTGACTAAGCCGTTTGGGCGTGAAACACGTAACATAACAAATCAACGACAGCACAGAGCTCATATGGTCGTGGGTTCTAGCCTCACTCGTCTTAATTGAAATATAAACAATTGATTTTGCATATAAAAAACGTGAAGATTATATAATTATTACCATTTCTTACAGAAGAAATTACCATCTTGGCGATGCTATACTCCATCGGTCGAGGAGACAGTCAACTTGCAGGTAAGAGTTATAAGAAGAAGAGTAAGAAGACATATAACACCATAAAAATGCCCGTTACCTTTACCTACATTAACCTGTTATCTTACCTGCTGAATAAATACACTGTACCCCCCATGGCCCCTTACCGCCCCGCACCCCCCCCCCTTTCCACCCCGCACCCCCCCCCCCTTTCCACAATTTCTGAAAAGTTTCGTGGAGTAGGGTTAAACCCTGACCGTCTTACATATTCTTTTATGTAATTTACTTAGTACAGTTATAAAGATAATATATAAAGCTGAGTTTGTTTGTTTGCTTGTTTGAACGCCCTAACCTCAGGAACTACTACGAATTTCTGTAATTTTTTTGTCTTGGTTTTTATCGGTTATTTATCGAGGAAGGCTTTAGGATATAAAATATCCCGTAACAACTATTTACTTTATAAAGAAGATAAGGTTTGCAAAATCATATTTTGTTGTTAAAATAAAAACTATTATACGCGGACGAAGTCGCTGGCACAGTTAGTATCGCGTCACAGTCCTAGAATCCACTTGAAAATCAGTATAGCCACCTTGTGCTCTACTTAGCTGAGTTGACCCCACCTTTTTGCCATCTAAAACCTTCTGAGTTTTCGCTAGTACTCCATAACGCAAATAGAGCAAACTTAAATTATTCTAACGGTATAAAACGCGAGTTATATTAATTGGTGAAATATATTTCGCGTTTTGAACCGTTAAAGAGTTTTTAAAAAGGTATTTTTTATAACGGCAAAGTAATGTTCTCTTCTTTTTTCAGGAGGAACCAGTGGCAATGTCGAGATGGTACCTGCATCGGGCTGGACGGGAAATGTGACGGTGTAGTGAACTGTCCTGATGGAAGCGATGAGACGTTCCCCCTCTGTAGGAACACGCCGTGAGTAAGCTCATCATCATTTTTGATGCAGCATCAGGGTTGACAGCGCAACGATAAGTAGTCGCTGGTGGTAGCAATGTATGACTATCCATCAACATGTCTAAAGTCTGGAAATCTGGATATCGGTGGTAGGATTATCGATATACCGTCCTGGTTCGTGACCGTTACTACTGATGGAAGGGAAGTGAAGTTTTAGTCTGCGGCTTCTCGAATATCCAAAGCCGAAACAAGTCTACGCCGCTCCTTTCATTTGTAGACGCCGGCTCGTGACCCGGGTGAAATTTTCCCACCATCCATTTACTATCCACATTTCCCGACGAAATCCAACACGTTTTAGAAAAATGATAAATTAAAAAAAAATCAAAAAGTTGAACCGTTGAAGATCGATCGGCGAGTTTCTTGCCAGTTCTCGTTCATTCGTGGTGAATGTAAATTAAGATTCTTTAGTTTTGTGACGTTTATAAGTGTATATTTAGTTAATATGTATCACACGATGGCACTATATAAATTAAATATCGATTATAAATTGAGAATATTACGCCTCGGGCAGGACTTGAACCGGCATCCACAGCGTTTTTTGCTCTAACCAATCGACCTACCGAGATCGATACATGCGCGAGAGTTTGACATGTTCATCAATAAGTTGAAAAAACTCGAAGAAGACGTATTCGATAGGACTCGGTCGCTCATTGGTTACAGCACGGAACGCTGACGATGCCGGTTTAAGTCCTGCCCGAGGCGTAATATTTTCAATTTATAATCGATTTTTAATGTATATTGTACCTAATTACCTACGTGAGTAAATGATTTTTTTTTTCAAACACGTCAGATGCCAGAGCAACTGGTTCCGCTGTACCTACGGCGCATGCGTCGACGGCACAGCGCCCTGCAACGGCATACAGGAGTGCGCGGACAATTCCGACGAGTTGCTGCCGCGCTGCAGGAATGAAACAGAGGAGATCAGGTAATATTAGGCAGTAGATCGCATTTAAATAAGACACTTCGGTTTAAAACGCGATATATTAGTTAAACTTATTTGAAAATGATTCTTAACTTCAGCCCGAGATTTCGGATGCTTAGCAGCAGCCGTGGTCACGGTGAGACTAAAGATCGAAGATGTCTCTGACGTCAATATATCGCGTTTTAAACTGTTAAAGTGTTTTATTAGAATGTGTACTACTCGCTTAAACTATAGACAGTATTTAGTATGTAGGTAGTTTTTTTTGTGAAATCCCATTTCCCCTCTTGAGGCATGGGGCGAACACGTGTCTCTATCCGTTTTACTGATCGGTTTTTACTTACAGACATGTAGTATAGTTAGTTCTGTGCCCTATCCGACCGAAACAATTTATCGTTTCCCCGGGATCCGAACCCAGGACCTCTCGGTCGGAAACGTCGGGCCGTAATAGTAACTTACAAATAAGTCTAATATATATCGCGTTTTAAACCGTTGAAGTGTTGTATTTAAATGTTTTTTTCACCTTGTAAAGACGATTAATTTTCTCAGAGGTCAGTTCCGCTGCGACAACGGCCAGATGATACCAGCAGCTGACCACTGTGATGGTACGATCAACTGCAGCGACGGCTCAGACGAGACCGTGAAGAGTTGTGCCGGTAACAAGTGTCCCGGGTATGCCTTTCAGTGCGCGTACGGCGCCTGCGTTGATGAAGGCTCGAATTGTGATGGGGTGAGTTGTTACTCTTCTTCTTCTTCTTCTTCTTTTTTCTTCTTCTTCTAGTTCTATTCCTATCAGAGGGGGGTAATTTTATAGATGGATAACTGCCCTCCAGCCTTGTCAGAGGTTTGACCCTGATGTCATGTAAAGGATACAGACAACCATAGTTTACCCTTAATGTAAGGAGAAAGACACCTACAACATTTAAACAAGGTCCTCGACTTTTTCGTTTTATACATTTGGAAGTTTACAGTCTAAAAACCAAGCGTGATTACACTTTACTGTGGATGGTTTGTAACTCAGAATTTGAATATGTCTAGCATCCATTTAAAATCTAGATTTTCACGACAATGTCTGGGATAAATCTGGGATAAAAATGTAGATTTAATAAACTTGTTAGACCCGTCACCCGATTAAAACCGAACCTGCGTCCGCATAATAATTAATCACACAACCTTATAAACTTATTACTAAAACCTGACCGAATTAAATGCAATCATTCAAATTAAGCAATTTTAAAGTTTTAAAACGTGAGCTATCAATTCTGACAGTTCGGTAGTTGCAGAGCTCCGGAAACGAAAGAAATAACAAAAAAATTGTTAACAAATAAATTTCGCGTTTTAAACCGTTTAATGTGTTTCATTTATTTAGACAGATAAAGCAATGCGCGGACGGTTCGGACGAGTCCGACGAATTGTGCAACAGGATGTCAGCTGTGACGACAACCACCTCGCGGTAAGTGTTGCCAGACATTATATAACAGGCTAAATACTGTCTATAGTTTACGCGAGTAGTACACATTTAAATAAAACACTTTAACGGTTTAAAACGCGATATATTAGTTAAACTTATTTGGAAATGACTTTTAACTTCGGCCCGACGTTTCGGATGCTTTGCAGCAGCCGTGGTCACGGGGAGACATATATATAGCCTGTTATATATATATAACAGGCTTACATGTGCAGCCAGCTGATTATTAGCATTGCATGGCTCTAAAATCAACAAGTCGAGGGTTGAGGTTCGATTTCCTCCATGCCCAATATGTTTTTCTGAAACATTGCACTTCGATAACTTTGATATTTTTCAAATGTTATTGCACATAACAGAACATGAGATATATTTATCAAAAAACGATTTTAGATAGACAAACATTACTAAATACGTCACAGGCAGGACTTGAACCTGCATCCAAGGCGTTTCGTGCTGGTATTCTAACTTATTGAGCTACTTTGTCCCACACGTTTTACGCTTAAGAAAATCATTGAAGATTAAATTATAGAGTTTAACATTTTCCGATGTCGATTTCAGATTTTTAAATAAGATGAAAAATACCAAAGAAAAATTCGATGAATTTTATAAGAGATTTAAACTTATTGACTTTATTAATATATTTCGTGTTTTAAACCGTTTTATTTAAATGTGTACTACTCGCATGAACTACAGACAATACTAAAAATACATAACAACACAGGTCACCCGGTGTCGGCAATTGCATAGTCCCCCCCACATCCTTCCAACGGACGCTACTCGGTCGTGGGTGAACCCTCGGCGCAGCCAGGTCAGAGGTTCAAGGTGCTCAGCCTGAACGTGACCTGCGATTTCGGGTACCGCGTCAAGGGGAAGAGTTCCGTGCTCTGTTACAACGGGGCCTGGGGGGATGATCTACCACAGTGTGTTCGTGAGTACTTTAATTAGCGATATGACTGCCTTCTTCAATAACTCCTTCACCATCAAAGCGATGAATCTCTGGAACTCTCTGCCCATTGGTATCAGTAAATCTCGATCTCTCCATACGTTTAAAACCTCAACCTTATTTATCTCTCTTTTCCACGTTGTTCTCTAGCACCACCTACCTATAGTACTTTCTTTCTTGTTTTACCTACACATTTGGTCGCCTGGAAGAGATCGCTGTTTAGCTATAAGGCCGCCCTTTATTTATATGGTTTTATTAATGTTTACCATTCCTGTTGTGTTTGTAAATAATAAATAAGAATTTAAAAAAAAACGAATCATGTAGTCGTTACTGGTATTATAGAGAAAATTAGATGGTCGTGGGTTTGACACCCGACCGCGTCATAATTTGTTGCAATGTACCTCAAATGTCATACGTGGGGCATCACAGAAGAACAGGTACAAAAGCTTGGATGGTGTCCCTCCACACACATCGAACTTATAAGTGTTGTATTACTGTCTAATTGTATTTGGAATAAATTATTTGATTCGATTATTCCAGAATTCTGCCGCCTCAACCCACACGAGAGCGTGGAGTACCGCTGCGTGCTCTCCGGAAACCAGGATGGGACCAGAGCCTGCAACCTCTTCGAGCCTTCGGGCACCGTTGTGCGGCCACAGTGCCACAAGCCCAACTATTATTCCCCCTGGAGTCCTCCCCCCTCATGCGTTGTATCGAAGGCAGTTGGGACACCATCGCCATCTGTCAACCAGGTTTGGTCAAAAACGGAACTAATATCACTGTAATCATACAAGACACTGTACAAGTCTACGTTTCCAGTTTCCTCTATAGTGGACCGGGTGAAACGAATGAACCCAATGTGGACGGTTCAAAACCGTTTATAAATACAACACCGTCGATAAATATGTCGCAAGTGACGCCGATTACAAATTCCATAGACACGGAGAGTCAGACTCCGGTGTATGACATAGATTATGACGATTGGCGAATGGGGTCCTCCAAGAAGAAAAACGTCAATATATATTTGGGTTCAAACAGTACACATATTTACGCGAATGCGCCCCAATCTGTCATCGTTTTTCCTGGCAATCAGTGATTTTTAGTGTCTATAAATACTACATATTTGTATTCTTTTTTTTACGGTCTCACACTCGTATACATCCACGAACAAACACATCCACACTCAGATCTACATATATCCAAAAACACACATATTCTCTAACCCACACATCACACATCCAAATACACACACATCCACTCACACGCACATCCACTCGCACGCTCATCTACTCACACGCACATCCACTCACACGCTCATCCACACACACTGTTAACATACACTTATGAACTTGACGCACACACATAAAATGTATGAAAACTACAAAAAATAGGCCGTTGTTGCCGTCCTGTGGCTGTGATCGGTGGCCTATGTGTGAGGGCCCTTAAATAAAGCTAAAGCCATATAAGTAAAGCTAGTAAATACCGAATAATATCAAATAACTCTGAAAAAATGTAGGACTAGGAAATCTTTTAAGTACACGAGTACACTTTAAATAAAACCTTCTTAACGGTTGAAAACGCGAAATACATTCGTTAAATGTTGTAGTTTTTATTGAAATATTTCTTTTTTATTCAATTCGGTGACTATACATCATAAGTGGTAGTAAATATTTAAAGTTGATAATATTCAAACAACAATATTAGTTCCTACTGAATACTCCACACCTAAACGTGCCAAATAAATAAGATCTAAAATATGTATATAAATTACTTATAAGTATCACTATAATCATAAACGTAAGAGCTAAACGCTATATTTTAGTTTATACATTAGGGGGAAGTGGGGGCAAGACGTAGAAGCGATTATACGTTAGGGGGAAGTGGGGGCAAGACCAATATTACTTATATATCAGGGCCGAATTTAAGGGAGGGAACTGGGGCTACTGCCCCTGAGCCTCAACTAAAAGAGGGTAATAGCCCCACTAAAGAGCTTTCTTTTTGAACTTTCGCTTTTATATTCTTTTTCTAATTATTGTTGTGTCCTGGCCCTACCTCTTATATGCTCCCCTGAATTGCAATATCGATCTACGACGGTTTCATACGCGTTTGATTCAACTTAAAGATATAGAAAAGGATTGTACATTAATAGGATGGAATGTAATAAATATTTTATTTTATGTATTTTTTGTTTTATTTACCCCGCCCTCCATCCTCTTAGTGGACATTCTTCTACTTATTACTTCTACTACTTCTACGACTACTAGACTCTGTACGCTACCTTAAAATGTATTTTTCCTATATTAGTATAATTTGTATTATTTTAGCAGAATGTTATATTTTCATTAAATACTAAAAGGGGTATGGGGAAAACACATTTCCGTGTCTGTTTCACTATTCCATTTCAAGTTCCAGTAAATAGTTACTTAGACCTTTTTTAGGACATTTCAAGTTTTTAACTGTTAAAAGTATTTTATTTAACTATCATTTTCGCATTACGCTCAACGCGAAAAAATATCAGTTAATTTATTTTTAATATATTTTAAGTTCCTTCCAACTCGGATGTTTTACAGCAGTCGTGGTCACAGGAGGGATTTCCTAATGGCAATGTAATATCTGTACTTGTATTTGGTTAAATACTGTTCTATATTTTACGCGAGTGTACCTTTAAATAAAACCCTAAACGCGATATATTAGTTAAACTTATTTGAAAATGATTTTTAACTTCGGCCGGAGTTTCGGCGAGATGATTAATTGTATTGGTTGTTCATATATTTTGGTTCAAAAACGTTCAAATGGTTTAGTTAAAAATATCTATTTACAAGATAAAAATGTGTCTGGGACACATCATTACCACGTTGGGTAAAAGGGATTTGTCTATATGAGGCAGAGGCAGAGTAGCCTAACTGCAATTTTATTACTTGAGTTTTATAGTTTCATAGTCTAAAAATGTTTATCTACAAGAACACAGTGATCGAAAATTGTTAACTTAATTCTTTTAAATAAAACACTTCAAAGGTTTAAAACGCGATGTATTAGTTAAACTTATTTGAAAATGATTTTTAACTTCGGCCCGACGTTTCGAATGCTTTGCAGTAGCCGTGGTCACGGGGAGACTGTGTCCCTGGGGAGAAAGAAACGTCGGGCCAAAGTTAAAAATCGTTTTCAAATAAGTTAAACTAATATATCGCGTTTTAATCCGTTAAAGTGTTTTATTTAAATGTGTACTACTCACGTAAACTAGACTATCCCAATATACGTATAATAGTAGAAATTAATTTTCGCCTAAGATAATTGCGCATTTGTATTTTCCTCCTTATTGAAAATCATGTTTGAATTTAGGCCACTCTGCCACTAGCAGCCTCAAATACGGGTGTTTTCCATAATTATTTCTTGTCTTGACATCTGACTAATATTCTAGAATGCGGCAGAGTGACCCCAGAGGGCGTCGAACTGGTTATAGGCGGTTTACCAGCTAAACGAGGGGAACTCCCCTGGCATACTGGTATTTACAGCAAGCGGTTCACACCGTTTAAGCAGATATGCGGAGGGTCCCTGGTCAGCAATACTGTGGTTATATCAGGTAAGAATAGAGACTGAAATTTTTTTTTAAGTTACATAACTTCTTTCTTTTTTTCTTTTTTTGACAGAGGAGTACAGGGCATAAATCACTTGATGGTAGGTGGAATACCCCAGCCTGTACAATAAACGAGATGTGCTGTCGGCCTATTTTGGCTTTGGATATTCAAAAATCTACTGTAACTTGATTATACTTCACTGATTTTCCTCTGTGGACGATGCTTCGTGACCCGGACGGATTTAAGATATGCCCTCCATCCATTTCATATCTAGATTTTCAGACGAAGTCCAACATTTTTCAGAAAAATTAGAGAATCCAACGACCCGTTGGTTATTTGCCGTACATTGCTATCATTGCTTTAAAGATCTCAGCCAGTCAAATGACAAATTCATATATCTGTATCTTATGTAATACAAACGGACACAAAAATATGTACCCGCATCTAATCTGTGGCTTATACATAAATTTATTTTCTCCCTGGTTTTTGCCTCAGTCTTATGTTCTGTATGTTATTCGAACAGCTGCGCACTGCTTCTGGGAAGACCTGACCAAGAAGCAGTCACCAGAAAAGTACGCCGTCGCCATTGGAAAGCTGTACAGGCCCTGGAACGACAAAATGGACAAAGACTCCCAGAAGTCTGATGTAAGTATTGTTCAGTTAAGTTCATGTATGGCCAGTACTTGAGTGTTTACGCGAGTAGTATACATCTAAATCACTTTTAACGGTTTAAAACGCGAAATATATTAGTTATATCTTATTTTTAAGTTAACGTGTCGTTTAACTAAAATAGGGGATACCGGGGCATATACATTTAATATAGCTTTTGCGACCATTTTTTCCAAGCTATTAGAGTTTTGAGCTATTCGAATTTAAAACCATTTCTTAGTAGAACAGCTTGAAACCTAGTTTTGGACGCAGTGTTTGCTATAGAAGGTCTGTAATTTACGCGAGTGGTACACATTTAAATATAGTCAAATTGTGTAAACTTTTTATATCTCTGGTGTTAGCTTTATTATCAATTATTATTGTAAGTCTTAATTTCAAGGTTGCCTGGAAGAAATCGCTTTTTGGCGATAAGGCCGCCTTTTCTTTACATGTTTGGTTCTCCTGCAAATTAAATCCTATTTTCTAATATTGTGATGGCAATAAAGTATTTTTTGTTTGTTTCTTTATAGTTTCAAACCGTTAAAAATGTTTTATTGAATATGCCGTTTTACTTGCAGATCAAGTCAATAGAAATCCCGACGAGGTTCCAGGGCTCTGCGGCTAATTTCCAAGAAGATATAGCTCTCCTTATACTCACCACAGCTATCGAGTACAAAACTTATGTGCGGCCGGTCTGTTTGAGCTTCGATTACAACTTTGACAAGCGGCAGCTTAGTCCCGGAAAATTGGGCAAGGTACGATTCAAAATTTACATCATTTGATACAGGATAGACAACTTCACTGCATGGAAGGTTAATACTGCAGCCATATAACATCTAAACGCGATCTAAATAGAACACTTTAACGGTTTAAAACCCGATATATATTAGTTAAACTTATTAAAGCCGCCCCGTGAGCACGGCTGCTGCAAAAAGTTAAAAAATTATCAAATAAGTTTAACTAATATATATCGCGTTTTAAACCGTTAAAGTGTTCTATTTAAATGTGTACTTCTCGCGTAAACTACAGACAGTATATTACTAACCACTAGAGCCACGAGACACTAAGAAGTAGTGATTTTAGCAATAATGTTACAGATAGCAGGCTGGGGTCTGACCGGCGTCAATGGGAACCCGTCTCCAACACTCCAGGTTGTGCGTCTGCCCTATGTCGACCTGAACAGGTGTATTGCGGAATCTCCAGCCGGCTTTCGGGAGTTTATCAGCAGTGACAAGTTCTGCGCTGGATACACTAATGGTAAGAGCTTTTATGGGGCATGGGGCGAACGCATTAATAATAATAAAACACTTTATACGAGTAAAATACAAATAAAGTGATACTAAATTTATTATTTACATTAAAGAGTTAGTGCAAAGGCATCCTGTGTCCTATTCCCTGATCGATTTTATGTACAGACAAGTTGATCAGATGTCTGTGCCCTGCCCGACCGAAGCTATTAGTATTATTAGATATCTTAATATGAACTATGAACATTGAATTTGTACTTAAAATATCAACATCAATATTATGCAATAAAACAACAAAAAAATATATTATGAGGCTGCTAGAACCAGAGTGGCCTAATAACAAAAAACATTATTTTCAAGAAGGAGAAAAATAAAATTTGTGTAAGAATTATGTTGACAATTTTCAGACGCTGTGCTAGTTACGCTGTAGACTAACGGTTTTAGACTGAGAAAGTATAAATAAGTCAAGTCATAAAATTGCAGTTAGGCTGCTCTGGCTCTAGCAGCGTCATATAACAGATTATTAATTAAATGACTTTTTTATTATCTTTTGACTAACGTCATTTAAAATGCTCTACGGGAGCCGTAGTCACGGAGCTTAAAAATACTTTATTGCTTCAATACGGACTTAAGTGTTATTTTACAATTCAATGCTTGTTTAAACAGTGACTAGTGTTATCATTTTACATTCCAACTGACGTAAATGCATTATATGGATATTACAAAAAATAAAAAAACGGGATTGATTTTTTTTAATGCATAACCTACAAGCCCTCGAGTACGCAACGTAGGGTCACAGTTAGAAAAAAAGTTAATTAACTTACTAATAGGTATATTTCGCGTCTTATACCGTTTTATGTGTTTTATATGAATTTGTAGTATCGTGAGAAAACATGATAAAAAAACTCTTACTATAAAGATTGTAAAAAAACAGATACGCAAATGTTAACGTAAATATTACAGTGCGCAAAAGATGCATGTATGTATAGGAAGCTCAATTGGCACTATGCCGGTTCAGGTCTCGCCCGTGCTGTTATTTTTTTTCAATCTAAACACTTTTAATTATATATTACATTCCTTAAGCCGTTCCCGCCGTTATTGTATATTATTTAACAGAATATGTTCATTTTAAACGTTTCAGGTACGACCCTGTGCAAAGGAGACAGCGGTGGAGGCCTGGCCTTTCCGGACTGGGAGATGGGCGTCGAGAGATATTATTTACGCGGCATCGTCTCCACAGCGCCGAACAACGAAGATCTATGCAACGCGCACACTTACGTCACATTCACTCAAATTATTAAACACGAACATTTTATAAAGGAATATTTACAATAAAGACTGCCCTTTTTCTAGTATTAATTTATTATCGTGTACCCACCTAGTTTCGTCAAATGCCAATATTCATTCAGAAAAAAATAAGTCAATAATATATATCGCGTTTAAAACCGTTTAAGTGTTTTTTTTATAATATGTGTACTACTCGCGTAATCTAGAGAAAGTATTTACATTTGCTTGGAATAAAATATTTTTACAGTCAATTTTCTTTTAATATTCTTGCCAGTCATGTAATTAACAATGCCATTTATCATCGACAAAGTTAATATATTTGTCTCTTTTATTTTGTCATTTAATATCTATTTTTATAATTCATAGTTGTTCAATAATTTGCAACTTCATAAATTTGTATAAAACCGAATTGTATTATGGCTTTATACATATTTATGAAGCGCAAGCGTGAATAGGAACGGAATAAATTAACGTCACTCATGCCCATTTGTCAACTGTCAGCTGTCACTTTATCTGAGTCCAAGATAAAACGTAAGACGAATTAAACATACGAAATCACAAATTCAGGGTCAAATCGATTTTGATTTGATAACAGTGCAATAATGCTATGCTAACGGTATTCCCATCGTTGCCTCCGCCAGTGTGAATTTTTATTTATTACTTGTAAGCTAAGAATAAGAACAATGCTCAGAAACTTATTCAGAACTATTGTTATGACGAGGATGATTTCACCAAAAATTAACGGTAGTGTTACTACTTTTGGCAATTACAAGAGTGTAGTGCCTCTATCAATAAGCCGGCCAGCCTTACAAGAGGATAAGTGAGTAGTTTTTGTGCATCTAACAACAGTAAAAGTTTTTGAGGTTATAAAAAGTTCAAACTCTACTTTTTAAATTGTAATTAAGGAAGCGTAAACTTAGAATCATAATATATAAAATTTTCCAAATCTTCAACCTTAAAATATTAGTGTTTTGCTATTCAATAAATGATTAAAACATTTTATTTACAAGTGAAAGGATAAAGTTTTCAATATTATACAAAAAAAATCAATTATATAGTTTTGTTGACAGATACCCATGTATGTATATTGTTATATAATCGAAAACAACTTGTTTAAAGTACTTTTAAGTTTTTTACTGTGTAAATAAAGTTTTTATCTGAATCAATTTACACAACTTGTCATAAATCAAGCTGGTGGTATATATTTCTTAAATGTGATTTATAGGACCTCAAGTGACTGTTCAAAGTAAATGGGGCTTAAAATAATTCAATACCCTTGATTACCCTCTAAAATGAGTCACAAAAGTACTCTATATTGTTTTCAAAGTGTTATCTAGATAAGATATAGTTGCATTTTTATGTACCTATTTTTTGGTAAGTATTAATAACAAACTATGCCTCTGTAGCTACATGATTAAACACGTTGCCAAGTATTGCATTTAGCGAGAGAGGTCCCAGGAATATTAGTTGGGTAGGGCATAGAAATCTGATCAATTACTCAATTGATTGACTTGTTCACCTCATGCCCCCATTCCATGAACCTGGAATATCACTTATTTATTTAAAAAAGTATATTGCATTAAATATAAGACGCAGAATTATTGCAATGCACTTCTAAACTAGCAGATGTTTTAAAAGACATCCTTAACATACTAATTCTTATTTGGGTTTACATGCTTCGTCTATTTTATTCCTACATGGTTCTTGATATTTGAAATCGTGGTTGGAGTGGATGGCATCTTAAGAAAGTGTTGAATGTCTCTATTCTTAATAAAGATTGGCTCTATAGCCTTATCAAATACCTAAAGTGGCGACGATAGTATTCAATTTATACAAGTATTGATTATTGTGTTGAAGTTTGTGAAAAGAAGTAACCAGTTATCTAAGATTTAAGGGATACTTACTGTCCTAATAATAGTTACTGGAGTTTAGTTTTAGCTAAATATCATTGTAACAAGAGCATTGAATTTTCAGACGTGGAATCCATTGACTAACATATTTTGTGTAAACTATAAGAAATGATTTTATGCAATAACTTAGCTAAGTATTTTATTATAATGTTGCACAAAATTTAGTAATACAATTCTGATAAAAACTGTGTTATCAATTGTTAATTTCTTAGTCGTTCTTGGCATTTCATTGTCGGTTTTTATTAGATTGTTAATAGGGAACTAGTGATTGATAGATAGCCCACAGAGTAGTATTATTTTTAATACTTTACATGCCTCTTGCCTGCTGAAACAAAATATGAAAATGAATTAAAGTTATCTCTATTGTCAACTTGTGACTGATTACGGAGAGTACTGAAAACTGTTTTACAACTTGACACTCCTTTCAGGCATAATTTGTTAAACTACCCCTTATCACAATAATTTTCATTTAGATATTACAATTTAAATGGTTATTAGACTTATTATTTCACTTATTTTCTACACTTTATTTTAACTAAAGGCTGATGCTTTGCAGAGGCCATGGTTAGGGTGGAAATGTAAATATAGGTACTAGCATAAACTACAGACAATACTAAATAATTTTTCTTCTATTTTATTAGACGTTTTGCATTTTTGTGTTTCTTAACTGTTTTTAAATAGATGTATGTTTCATTTTCAGAGTTAAAGTAACATTCCACTTGTATGACGGTCGGCAATTGGAAGCTGAGGGTAAGGTCGGTGACACACTGCTGGATGTGGTGGTCAACAACGACCTAGATATTGATGGATATGGTGCCTGCGAAGGGACAGTTACCTGTTCTACATGCCATGTTGTACTTACTCAGGAGGATTTTGACAGGTAACTGAATTTATATTTTGGAATACGTCTCAAACTGACCTGACAGAGATGTGACCCGAGTGAGATCATGTTCTTGCAACACGCAACACCAAATATTAAGTGGTCAAAATAGTCAAATTAATTAAAAAAGGAGTTTTTGTTACGGGTTTTAAACCGTTATTAGTGGTTTATTTAAATGTGTACTAGTAGCCTAAAGAAAAGGGAATATGTATCTATAGTTTTTAGTATTTAGTGTTCAATGTTATGGTGTGGGTTGTTGATAGTAAATAATTTCTTTCTTATTGATTTTTACTGATATATGATGGTTTGCCGTCCTAATAAACAATTTAACGTAAAAAAATATGTCTTCCTAAGTAGCGCCGTGTAGTTTGCTTGTTTTTATTACTAATATTGTATAACATTCAGGCTTCCAGAAGAAGCCGGTGACGAAGAACGCGATATGCTGGACTTGGCTTACGGCCTAACTGACACCTCCAGGCTTGGCTGCCAAATCACACTGACCAAGGATTTGAATGGTCTCGTAGTCAAAATCCCAGAAGGCGTAAACGACGCGCGAAGTTGATGTTGTCAACAGATGGCGTTCTAGACAATACCAGTTTCGTCTTTTTGTCAATAGATGGCGTTACGTGTAAAGATTTAGCTAAGTATCGTTGGTCAATGGTTATGTTAGTTTACCTAAATACGTGTATTTAGAATTTATTAACGAATGTTATAGATGTTAATATTTTATGATTATTGTTTTCTATACATTAAAATAATTTTTCCTTACGCCTTTTGTTTAATGTATTAGTAATTAGACATTTAGAGATGAATGAAATAAACAGCAGCTACGAACAAATAACGAATTATTCTATACTATACCGTTTTAATAAACTATTTTTACCAAGACGTATTTTTTTATTTTATAGAAAACTACAGACGTTATTTGAGGACTAAAGATGTAATCCTCAAATAGCGTTTGTAGTTTACGATTAGTACACCTATAAATAAAACACTAATGGTTTAAAACGCGACATATATTATCAGTTCAACTTATTTGAAACGTCGGGTAATCAAGGCTAGTGTTTTATTTAAAATTTACTCTCCATTTTACTCGAGCCTTTTGTTTAAATAAAACACTAACGGTTTAAAACGCGATATATTAGTTAAACTTATTTGAAAATGACTTTTAACTTCGGCCCGACGTTTCGAATGCTTTGCAGCAGCCGTAGTCACGGATGCGCGGACGGAGACTAAAGATGGTGGGCCGAAGTTTAATCATTTTTAAATAAGTTTAACTAATATATCGCTTTTTAAACCGTTAAAGTGTTTTTGTTTAAATGTAGCTCGCGTAAACTATAAAGCCTTTTGTTGTTAATCTTTGAAGCAAGTTACGACTAATAAAACTATAATCAAATTGATTGGATTTAAAAAATTAAATATCTTACAGCCAATAACGAAACACTGTAGCAATGTTAAAAGTAATAATCTGTTCTTTGTTATGTAAGTGCTAGTTTGAAGTAAACATATTATTTTCCTTAAGGTTTCCTTAGCTCAGGTAAAACACACGAAGTCCAGCATGTAAAGCAAGTGAAGGCTGAGGTTCAAATCCTAGGAGAAACTAATTCAGTCGGGCAGGGCATATTATCTAGATCTTAGATCTTCTTGTCTGTAGATAATCGACGAGACGGGGATACGGGCCTTCACTATTACCTTTGTTAGTTTCAGGTAGTTCGCTATTAAATTTCGTAAAATGTTATACGACTTCTGTATTTTTTCTTATTTGCAAGACGTCATACAAACACACAACTAACAAAACATTGTTCGATTCCATGTTGTGTAGGTATTTTTTATTCTCTATTGCAGTAACTCACACGTACGGTTTCCGATATCTCCCGTCTCACAAGAGACAAGACAGGCTAAGGAAGGGGTACAGCAAACATTTGCCGTTGCAAGTCAACAATAATTATTACGATGCGACTTCGTACGAAAGCCTACAATTTAGAAAGTATTATCCGAAGAGCGAAGCCATTTTCAAAGATATTTTCGACGATAAAGGCATGTTATATCTGACAAGGGCCAATAAGGACACAGACAGACTCCTAAATGAACTTCTGAACGATGTCATAACCATGAAATCAGAGAAGTATTTGAGACAGAGAGCCCACCGCTCCAATGTTGCTAGGAATGGCGGGATGGAATTTGAGTTTAACGAATTAGTTGCTTAATATTTAGGTAAAATATTCTTAAACACTGTCGTGTAGTTTACAACTAGTACACATTAAAATAAAACACTAACGGTTTCAAACGCGATATTTACTAATTAACTACGGCTTTGCGACGGAGACACCTCTCCATCTTTAATATCCCCGTGATCACGGCTGCCGCAAAGCATCCGACACATCAGACGCAGTTAAAATACTTTTTAAATAAATTTAAGTAATATATATCGCGTTTTAAATGGTAAAAGTGTTTAATTTAAAAAAAAAGAATTCCAAACTACTGTAATATTGTATTAAGTAGTAAAGTATCACTCTTATATAACTAAAATCTATCAGTCATTCTCTTTCTCTTTCTTTGATTACTTTTGAGCCGACGAGATTCTAAACTAAAAGACATTATTTCCTAAAACTCTTGTAGAATTAGTAATGAGAAAGATTTTTAAAGATCAAATAAATTGAAAAATTTTTTCGACTCGAGGATGAACCGGCATCGTAGCTTTTCGTGTGTTGCTCTACCAATTGAGCTACCGAGTCTTACACCTCAGTCGAATTTTAACTTTTTGATACATGCACCCCTTTTTAATTAAATTATAAGGTTAATTTTATAGAATTTTTTTTTTTAATTTATTTTGATTTTAAAATTATTAGTGCCTTATGTGCAATAACATTGTTTTGTTTTCAAATGAGAAAGATTGTTAAAATTAAAGTATAATAGACATTTACTGTCGTCAGTCGGTCATGTTTTCAGATCATTTAAGGAGGAATTATTCATACATATTTTTTGGGCATCTCAAACCGTTTTCTTAGCGTACGCAACGCAATTTCTTCTTCTTCTATAAGTCGCGTCGCGATGTGTTACAACCTATAGTCTTCCTCGACTAACTAACCTATACACAAAAAAGAATTAATTCGAATCAGGAGTTCCTACGGTTAGCGCGTTCAAACAAACAAACTCTTCGGCTTTATATACTATATTCATAAAGACAATCGGTCGGTGTATCCTGCAATGAAACGGGATTCCCCTTAATAAACAAGACATTATTTGTAATAGATAATTTAATTCTAACCGCATTATAAAATATTTAAAAATCACTTATACTCATTAATTACATACAAATAAAACATTATGCGTCAACCCTGCCTTACTTAGACGCTGGCATCGTGTTGTCTCTCTCTCTCGAATTACAAGTACAGACAAAGTACCACTTAGAAATAACCAGCTCAGAGCCAGAGCTCGTCCAGCTCTTTACACCGCCACGACCCTCGTAACAACTTCATTACAGGACGAGAAGGCCGCGACCGTTGTTATAACGTGCTTTCGGAACGTCATGATCCTTGTTATAACGGAACGAGAAGGCCACGACCGTGATAACAACAGAACAAGGCCACGGCCGTAAAAGGACTGACTTCTACTTGCTTTTAGGACTAAATATCGGAGAGGGGGGGGGGGGAAAAAAGGGAGGGTGGGTGTTATCCACTTCTCTCTATATTATGACGTTATAGGGGATACGGTACGGTACGGTACGGAGAGGTAGAGGGATCGGATATCGCACGCCAATGACTTACTTGAATTTGTGGTGATGTGTCGTATGTAGCCCTCCACGCTGAAGTGGATTATGGGGTAACAGAGCTGGTACGAACCGGCGATCTGGCTGACATAGCCGTTGAAACAGACCGAGTGGTTTTCAAAAGAAGACAATTTCAGCATTTAGCATCAAACTCTATACATTCCCACGTTCATTTAACAAAAGTTTCCAGAAAAATATATATTTTGTGCGCCGCCCAACTTACATTGACGAAGCAAATCAACTTTCTACAGCCGACGCTGCGTTTTTCGTGATTTTAAGAAATTGAAACATACTAAGTATATTAAATAAAAAGATTAAATAAATTTTAAATCCATTCATTAATATCATCAACAATATAAAAAAAAAATTTCTGTACGTAATCATTGTTGCTCATTGATGCTTCCTATAGTTATAACTACGATTTACGATCGGCGCAACGACCGACAAAGCGACCAGTCGCGCGACTTCGCGGATCGGTCGTCGGTCGACGTCCTAATTATTGTATATCACCGCAACGTCGGCTGTCACGCGAGTTTATAAGTATCATACGTGCACGTCTAGACGCCCGTTAGTAACATATCAGCGCAGTAACGCGTTACGTAACGGTTAAGCATAAGTGCGTTCAAATATTACGTAAGCAAATTTGTTAGGATAATTGACCCCCCCTGCCCCCCACGCCAAAACAAAAGTAAGGGAAGCTCTTGAAAACCCCCCTTCCCCGCCCCTCATTGCTGACGTGACATCAGATCTTATTATTAGAAGTTCAAAATTTAAGCGGCCAGTTCTGCAAATTACAAAAATAAAATCGCTTTACCGGTTTAAAACGCGATATCGGCGGATGCTTTGCAGCTGCCGTGGTCACGGGTCACATTATTTTAGATTACCTATTACTATTTCTGATGTAATTATGCTTCTAAGGGGGAGGGGGGGGGGGGGAATTAAATATTATCCCTGCTTACGTAATACTTCACAAATCCAAAACAAGCCCCGCGCTATCACCCTCGCCCCTTAATTAATCCTAGTAAATACAGTGAGGAAGATTTTGTTCGTTAGGCGTCTTATACACGAATCGTAAAAACGCTAGTGCACTGCTGCCACAAAACTCGTAAGTAAAACACTTTTAACAGTTTCAAACGCGAAATAAGTTGGCCGACTCTCTTTTAGTCACGACTCGACATTTCGGATGAACGGCGACGCGTTTTAAACCTTTAGGTGATTCATTCGTATGCGTGCTACAGGCGTAAATTATAGACCATACTTAAATCCTAGAATGTTCGAGTACGCAAAATGTAATTTCGGCCTTGTGTCGTCGTAATTTACGCGAGTAGTACACAATATTAAAACTTTTAACGGGTTTAAATCGTGATATTTCCCTAATGTAAAATACACTCCATCTTCATTTCCCCAAATTGAAAATAAGTTAACCAATACGTTTAGCGTTTTGAGCCGTTGAAACTGTATTTAGATATAAAATTTCGCTTTTACTTTACAATATTCTGTCTACGCGAGTTACTCACATTTAAATGAATCACTTTCAGCGGTTTAAAACGTGAAATATATTACTTAATTTAATTTTTAATGTGATCCGACAATTGAGATGTTTTACAACAGTGCATGGCGGGACTCCGAAACGTCGGGTCGAAGTTAAATGACGTACGCTTTTTATCATATAGGAAGCGTAGAGTTCACTTGATAGAATCTCAGCAATGTGCGCTGTCGGTCTATTTTCGTTTATATTCCGGGTTTGAAACCGTTAAAACGCTTTTTTAACGATCGTGTATAACAAGCCTAACCGAGAACACGTCAGCATTATACACTGGCCTTTTAAAATAAACATTATATTTAATTTGTGCAGTTTAACTAAATATAAAATTTATTTAAGGTTCGCTTCAACAATTGTTGTCCCACAGCTGGGCGCAGCTATGACCCACCACGCTATCCAACTTGCGAGAATTAGTTATGATGACTACTAGAACTGTTCGTAGAAAAATTTCAAATACCAAAGTTTTATTCCGCCCGGCTCGATCCGAACCTGGGACCTCGTTAAATCCTTGTCCACTAACCACTAAACCAACGATGCAGTCGGACCCTACACCGCCATTTCTAATAGCACTTTGACGTTTGTTTAATTATAAGATAACCGCCCATATCAGGCCACGAGCGGACAATGTAGAAAACGTTACATACGTAGAAAGCTATATATACATGCAGTATTAACAGCATCCACCATGCTAAAACATTGGCGTGGTGGATATGATAAGTTGGTATAACTTTTTCATACAAATGTATAGTTTTATGTATGCCGCGGTATAATTTCATAATTCTAGTAGCTTTACATTATATTATTAAATATACAGGGTGTTCCATTATTTCTAATGGCATTAATTTTATATTTTAGACTTCACTGTCTTGACTTGTAAAAAATACAAATGCAATGGCTTGCATTCTTGCCTTTCTTGAATAAACAAGGGTCACAATATATAATTTCTGTACCGTACAGTTTACTTGGTCAAGGTACGGAATCGATCAGCGCAACTACGCACTTCGTCTGTTTAGGTAAAATATTTTTTCCCACTTAATATAATATAATTCACGTCAATGTGTATATAAATAATAGACTGAATTAATTCAATGAAGACTAAATTAATTTAAATAAAGTAAAGTCTATTATGAATTAGTTTTTTTTTAAATTTGAATTAATCTAGTCTTAGTTTAGATTAAAAAAATTCCTATGCCGGCGGGACTCGAATCCACGACCACAGCGTACCGTGTCGGTCAAAAGAACACCACGGGCACTATTGTATGTAAAAAAAGAATATTGTTTCAAGCGGCTGCCATCTTGGGCTACCCTCCATTCCCCGTTTGTTCGAATGGAACACCCTGGCTATCCTGTGTTCTTCACGTACAGGGTGGTCCGATTCACCTGTCCGACTGCGCGTTCTCCGCGCTGCAATTTCTCTGTTTCTGATTCTTGTTGTCGTAGTGGAGGAGGCAGCCGACGGCACCGAAGTACCTATATATAATAAGGGATTTATTTTATTTATATTCAACAACGTAATGTTCCAATCTCGCATTACACAAGATAACTGTAATTAAAGAATAAAAGTTTAACACCTGTATTTACAAAGAATTAATTATGTTATGCAAGAATCTTAATTAACGTTAACTCAAATTATAATCATTAACTGTAAAAAGGTATGATATAAGAAGGGATAATTTTATAACGACATTTGGCCTTGTACTATTTAATTTTAATGATTGATAATAGTAATGATAGCTTTAATATTATAACACACATTTCACATTCTATCTACGACCCGACGTTCTTCTATAATTACAATTAGATTTGAGGGTGGGTCTTATTATAGGTAATATATTGGATGTAATGTCCGCTCACCCCTCGTGCTCCAAGAAGAGCGCCTTCAGCGCCCCCTTGGACCAGTAGGACATCGCGTACGACAGCAGCTTCATGGAGAGAGGGTTTACTCGGAGGAAGTTGCCGCAGAAAACCACCTGGGGACACATTGCGTTGTTTGTAGTAGTATTTTTTTCTAACTTGGCAAAAAACAACACTTTTGGTCGATTTTTAACCCATGGAGTGGAGTGATGCCCTTGCCACAGATGACACAAAGATAAAGAAACGTCGATTATATATGGACCAAACTAAATAACCACTATTATAACGACTTATTTAAAAAAATAATAATATGTCATTATAATATATTATGCTTCTCAGCGATAGTGCCAGAGTGGGACTTCTACTTGTTATTGTCGTTGACTTTGCTTACATCCCATCACTATGTAAATGTTAAACTAAACTAAAGAAATATCTATATTAATAATTTTACCATGAAACTGTTGTCTTACTGAATGAATTTGAAGTAGATTATTAGTTTAATATTTATTCCAGTGCCTCAAAGTGTTTTTAGTGTAAGTCAATGTAAACCTTGTGGAAAGATCGCGATTTCATGTAAATAGTGTGTTTGTTTACCAAAAATGCCAAGTTTGAAAAAATACACAATAGTATTGTTTTTGAATCTTTACCCTCTGAATATTCTGGTTGGACGCGCAGAGCCGTGCGATGGAGCCGATGTTGTTGGTGATGGTGACGAGGGTCGCCCTGGCGAGGTCCTCGCGGGACACCTTCGCGCGCCGATCAGCCGAGCACATGTGCCCGAAGCTGGAAAATTTAAATTGGCGTCCAGATAAAATTAGAAAATTTTTGTTTCTTTTTCTAATGGGGACCAGTTCATGCAAATTTATAGGCTCGTTGGTCTAATGATAAAATGTTTGGCTTACGATCCCTACCGGATTAAACGTTTGTTCGATTTCGTCTGGAAATCAGGATTTGAAATAGCTGGTAGGAATATATAAGATCTTTCATTATCCACAGATGAAAAAGCCGTCAAGCCCATTTCGGTGTCAGTCTGTGGAATTCCGAATATCCAAAATCAAAATAGATAAACAGCACATCTTGTTTAGATACTGTCTGACCTTCTGTATCATGAAAAGTCTCATTTGGTAACACGGTCACTTCTATTGCTTTGTCCTGTACCATGTAAGATAAGAGATTCTTCTCACCTGCTCGCAACCAGGTCGCCCCTAAGGCGGAACCGCTCGTAGTCCCCTCCATAAATGTCCCTAACGAGCTTGTCCACCGTCGTGTTGTCCCCGGACGCTGCCAGCGAGATCGCCTCCTCGAAGCTGCTGCAGCCCGTCAGCAGGCAGCACAGCCCGAGGAACGTACCACCACCCAGGCTAAAAGGCAGAATTAAATATTGTCTGTAGTTTACGCGAGTAATACATATTTAAATAAAACACTGTAACGGTTTAAAACGAGATATATATTTGTTAAACTTATTTGGAATCTTTCAACTACGGCCCAACGTTTCGGATGCTTTGCAGCAGCCGTGGTCACGGAAAGACTAAAGATGGAGGGTGTTCTGACGTCAAAGTAAAAAACTGCTACGCTAGCGCCAACTGTTCTTTCGTAGTTGGTATTTGAGGAAACTGGCCGGGTCCATGCAGAATTGAATATATGTTAAAGTATTCTGGTTCTTGTTTTAGTTGTTAGTTTTAAAATGAGTTTACCGAATATATTTCACGTTTTCAACCGTTATATTTTAACTAATAGGCAGAATGTTAATTGTCGCCTACAGTTTCCATAAATATTAAACACTAGCTGTGTCAGCGACTTCGTCCGCGTTGAATTGTTTTTTTTTGGGCGTCAAAATTTGTTTATAAAAACCTCCGTTTCACCTCTATAAATTTAAGTTGTTGCCCACCACGTCGGTATCGTCCCGTCATTTTTGCTAATCAATCCCCCTACATAATACACTTTCCCTATTTTCTCCACGTTTCCCGCTTTTTCTTCGCTCCTATTAGGACAGCGCGATATTTTTTCAATTCCTACCAATAGTTCCTTATATGTCTATAGAATTCAAATATAAAAGTTTTGAAACTGTTAATTTTTAAAAATTCAATGTGCCCTACTACAGCTTCCGATCATCACTTCTCACCTGGTACCGCTGACCCGGTAGTAGTCGTTGGGCGCGCTCACCACCAACATGGAGACGCCACTGCCAATGTTCACCAGCAGGAAGGGATACGGTGATGAGAAGTCGAAGGGTTTTCGGACGTATTGGCTGAGGCACGGCTCCAAGTAGGGCGGCTGAAATTTATATCTTCTTCTTAGTATTTTAAATTACAGACCAGTATGGTGTGTAAATATATAACTGAGTAACAGCGGACTTACCGAGTCATCGTCGAGCGGGGTATCCTGGTTCGGTTCCCAGTAGTAGCACTCGTGCGGATTCATCGAGTCGATGAACTGCACGCCGGCTATCAGCGCGTCCAGTTCATCCAACTTTGACAGCCGCATGTTCACCTCCTGGAACGATGTCATCTCCAATACAAGATTTATTAAAACGGGGGGAGGGGTGAGGGGGGGGGGGAGAAATACTCCAGCATTATAACATCTTAGAGATATGTGCCATCGACCTATTTTGCCTTTGGATATTCGGAAAACCACAGACTGCAACAGCTTTTTTATCAATGGATGTTGTTTTGTGACCCGAATGGAATTTGATATTCCTACAAGCCATTTAAAATCTGCTTTAGAAAAAATTACAAATTGATAAGAAACATGTTCCACTCGGTAGGAATCGAATCAACGACCCGTGGTTTATTGTCCATATCCTTCTAGCAGAGACCAATGAGCTCGTCAAGAAAATACAGAATTGAATTAAACTCGGGTCGTATCTTATATATCGTCGCTGAAAGCCATCCAAAACTAATATATTGAATAAACGGTTTAAAACGCTACATTTAACCCATTTCGATGCCTACTTGGTAGCGTTTTGAAAGGTCGCAGTAGAATCTATAACGACACAGATCAGAGTTAAAGGCAGATATATTTATGTGTCCGTGTTTTTTAGTCCCGCTTAACACAGCGAGGCCTGGAGCTGGTGTTTATACCTTGATAAAGTCCTCTTCGAACTTGTAAGCGCCTCCACCAGTCGCGTATATGGTGTTGAGCAGGGTCGCCATGCCCTTGGAGCGAGCCAGCTGGAGGAACGAACCCACCTCGCTGGTGGGGAACCGGATGAAGTGGAGTGTGCCGCGGCGGCCACGAATCGTCACGTTATCCATCTAAAAAGACAAAAGCTTTATAGCAATAAAATAAAATGGTAGTCGTGTGAGGTTGGATCAATGTCGTGGATTATACCCCCCCCCCCCCCCCAACAGGTTTCTTATAAATTTATAATTGTATTGAGGCATGTTGGACTCCGCCTGGTAATCTAGCCACTACTATTCATCATCAGCACCGTTCCTCTATTAGCATATGCACATGACAAGAACATTCCAGCACATTAATTCCTAACTTGAAGTATTTCCTCCAATGGTAACTGGCATAGCAGTCAGGTGGTACCATTGTATGGAGCCTCGCTTAAGAAGAAAAAACTAACTTAAGAAGAAGAAGAAACTCGCTTAAGAAGAAGAAGAAGAAGAAACTCACGTAAGAAGAAATAGAACCTCACCTGCAAGTGCACATCCCGCCGGCCCGTCTTCCCGTACGCCGAGTTCCTGGTGAGGTACCGCCTGATGTTCTTGAGGATCTCCGTCTCCTTGTCTATCTCGCGGCGGTTAGTCTCGCGCGGCTCGAAGTACACCAGCTTCGTGAGAGTGCCGCCGATGTCCATGCCGAACCACGGCATCGCTGGAACCACAACCGTGGTATTTAAAAAAAACCCACCAGATGATTTTTATGTAGTCAGAGAAGCATCCGCAGAGTATATTGAGTGAAATTCCTCAGCCATATAACACCTATACAAGATGGGCTGTCGGCCTATTTTAACCCAAGACAGTTAAGTACCAATTTAACTAGTTAACTGAATCGGGGGTTAATGAATATTTAGTTTGTTATTTGATAACTTTAATATTTTGTACACGTTATCGCACATGAAGGCACTATATAATTTAAAAATCGAAAACTCGGTAGCTCAATTGGTAGAGCAACAGCACGGAACGCTGACGATGCCGGTTCAAGTCCTGCCGAAACGAAAATTTTTTTTCAGTTATTTTCGATTTTTAATTTATATAGTTTGGTATTAAATACTGTCTATAGTTTACGCGAGTAGTACACATTTAAATAAAACACTTTAACGGTTTAAAACGCGATATATTAGTTAAACTTATTGGAAAATTATTTTTTACTACGGCCCGACGTTTCAGTCTCCCCGTGACCACGGCTGCTGCAAAGCATCCGAAACGTCGGGCCGAAGTTAAAAATAATTTTCAAATAAGTTTAACTAATATATCGCGTTTTAAACCGTTAAAGTGTTTTATTTAGTTTGCTATTTTTTATATTATCCTACAATAACTGTTTAGTAATTTGCTATCAAACATACAAATACCTCAAACATTCGAAAAACACGTTTTCCTCGTACAATTAATTAACAATTATAACAAGATTGAAGACTTAAGGGCGCCAAAAAAAGAAGAAGGAACCCTAATAAGTAAACAAGCGAGTACACATTTAAATTAAACACTTCAACGGTTTAAAACAAGAATATATTAGTCCCTCTTTAGTCTCCCCGTGACCACGGCTGCTAAAAGCATCAGAAGTCACACGTCGACATCAACTATTCTAACATCGTCTAACTAATACATTTCGCGTTTTTAACCGTTAAAGTAATTATTTACATACGTACCGTTAAATCAATATATTAAACTTGCCTACGCGCTTTTTTCTTTATTAGACGAACGACCAATAAGTCTAACAAGACGAATCAAACTAAGTTTATACGCGGAAGTTATAATAATTATAAGGAAACTAACACTTTTGTAATATCAATAATTCGCCCCGAGAAGGAAAACGTAAAGCCCGTTTCATCTAAGAACTTTGCCAGACATTATTCTGTGTCCGATTCATGAATGGACTAGCTGTGCCCGCGACTTCGTTCGAATTGAAACAATCTTTTTTAATTGGTTAGACCGTTTATGGAGGAAGGCTGCGAAGCGACATATGCGAGCGAAGGCATAGCGGGAAAAGTTAAAAAATACGCGTTAATTTACTCTACAGACATGGTTCAAGATACCTAAAATATAAGCTAGCTTTGTCGGCGACTTCGTCCGCAAGAATCGTTAGTTTTTATCATTATAAACTTAAGATGTTACCCACGACGTCGCTCGCGTGTCTTCCCGTCGTTCTTGCAAGTTAATCTTAAAATATAGACATATAGCGTCGCGGATTTTTTTACATCTTTTAATGAGAAATCATTCTTCCATACATATTTTTTGGGTATCTTGAGCCGTTTTTGCAGCGTAGGCCTCAGAAAACCTAGTGATTCTCCTATTAGCCACGGTACGATGTTTTAGACTAAAGCCTTTCACAATAAATGCTCTAACCAACACAAAAATAATTTTTCAATTCGAACCCGTACTTCCTGAGATTAGCGCGTTCAAACAAACAAACTCTTCAGCTTTATATATTAGTATAATATAATAGACAAAAAATGATTCCTTCTTAAATCATCTCAACAAACTTTTAAGATGTAACTTCCAAGAACGACGGGACGCGGGCGACGTAAGTAACAGAAAGATTTGGAGGTTTGCTAAAACAAATTTAATGTCCTTAATAACTATTCTACGCTAGTTTATAATAAGTTGTAGATGACGTTTTAATTGGCACCTTTCATAATGGCTTCGAAACAATAGAATTACGTTAGATCTGATGATAGGATTTTTAATTACACATCAACTATAAGACGATAAATTTCCCACAGATGACCCGTCACACCGTTCCAGTGCGTACCGAGTGGAATTTTTTTTTTTTTATAAAGGAGGACAGACTCTAAGAAGGCCATCACTGGTCCGCTTTGCTTTAAAATCCGCCATATTTGTGTGCCAAGTTAGAAAAAATGACTATACTAATTCGATCCTCACCGGGTCCAACATTATTCTAATCAATTTACATTTTTAAATGAAACACTTTAACGGTTTAAAACGCGATATATTAGTTAAACTTATTTGAAAATGATTTTCAACTTCGGCCCGACGTTTCGGATGCTTCAAACTTCACCCCGTGACCACGGCTGCTGCAAAGCATCCGAAACGTCGGACCGAAGTTAAAAATCATGTTCAAATAAGTTTAACTAATATATCGCGTTTTAAACCGTTAAAGTGTTTTATTTAAATGTGTACTACTCGCGTAAACTATAGACAGTATTTAATTTACATTTTTTCTGAAAACATGTTGCATTTCGCCTGGAAATTTACGTAATAAATGGGCGAACCGGTTTCAATTCCAAATATCCAAAGCCAAAACAGGTCGACAGTGTAACATCTTATTGAGATGTTACACGGCTGGGGTATTTTATCTACCGAGCGAACCCCATGGTCGTCTGTACATCTCGGTCGTAAAAAATAAACACTTACGCAACGCGTCGTTGTCGGGCGGCGAAGGCAGTGTCGGCATATTAGCCATCACGTGGTTCTCCTTGTTGAGGGCGGGGGCGGAGTACGGCGGCCGTCTCGCTCGCTTCAGGTGGTGGCTTCTGTAATTCCATACAAATTTAATATTCGAGATGGAGTATAATTGAGTAACCGGGGCTGTTGACGTTACAATAACACATAAATTGTGTGAGGCTTTCACGGCAATCGTTCAGCATTTTTACACACGATGGCAGTAAATTAAAATCAATTTTAGACGGAAAGTGCAAATATAAATAGGTTGAAGAATTTAAATAAAACACTGTAACGGTTTAAAACGCGAAATATTTTAGTTACACCTGTTTGAACTTGTTTGTCTCCACACGACCACGCCTGCTGCAAAGCATTCGAAACGCCGGGCCGTAGTTGAAAATAATTTTCAAACAAGTGCGTTTTAAACCGTCAGTGTTTTATTTAAATGTGTACTACTCGCGTAAACCACAGACAGTATTTAGGTTGAAGAAATTCGACGATGAATGTAGGTCCTGCTGCTCTAACCGTGCCTACCCGGTTAGAGCAGCACCACGGAACGATGTGGATACCAATTCAAGTCTTCAATCTAAAATCTTATAAGAATTAGGTCTTTAAGTTTTGTCTTTTTAAACGGCCCGATAATTTAACCACAAACCGATTTTTACCTGATGATGGTGTTATTGTTGTGGGGCGCGGGGCGCTCCGGTCGGCAGGCCGCGAGGCACCCTTCACAGCGGTGTAGACGCATCTACGAATCACAACATTTCTTTATCAGAAGAAAAATATTTTTAATCTAAAACACCTTATTGCAAATCAGTTATAGATTCAAAACTTAAAATACATTGAAAAAATGTTCGACTCGGGCAGGACTTGAACCGGCTACGTCAGCGTTGCGTGCTGTTGCTCTAACCAATTGAGCTACCGAGTCCTACGCCTCATCGTCGATTTTTTTCACACTATTGAAATAGGCACCTCTCGGGCAATGTAGGTAATTTCAATGTTAGCAATTGCGTATTTAAAAAAAAATACATTTTTATTTTATTTTTAGCCTATACAGTGCCATCATGTGCAATGACATGTAAAAAGTTTGTAAATATTTCACGTTTTGAACCGTTAAAACCGTTCCATTTAAACCACTAGAGTTCGACAGTACCGTCTCAAGTGGGTCAAGCTCATTAGCCACGCTCCAAGGTTTGTGAATGATAAAATAAACTTACATTAGCGGAAACGTGAGATGTAGCCAATTGCCCATTTACGTGTTTTGGGTTCCGTGCCCAAGCGTTACTCACGTAAGCTACAGACAATGTTTTATTTAGATCTATACTAATATATGAAGCTGAAGAGTTTGTTTGTTTGTACGTTTGAGCGCGCTAATCTCAGAAACTACGGGATTGAATTGAATAATTCTTATTGTGTCGGTTAGAGCATTTATCGAGGAAGGCTATATGCTATAACACATCGTGTTGTGACTAATAGACGTGAAGATACAGCGTTAAATGAGAAAAAAAATTGGAAAAATGATTTATCATAATGGGTTTCCGAGCCGTACGTAAAAAAATGTCTGCAACAATATATTATGTCTAACTTTTAAGATTAACTTGCAAGAACGACGTGACGCGCCCGACGTCGTGGGTAACAGAAATCTGTAAAGATATTTGAAAATGATTTTTAACTTCGGCCCGATGTCTCCCCGTGACCACGGCTTCTGCAAAGCATCCGAATCGTCGGGCCGAAGTTAAAAATCATTTTCAAATAAGTTTAACTAATATACTGCGTTTTAAACCGTTAAAGTGTTTTATTTAAATGTGTACTACTCGCGTAAACTATAGACAGTATCTGTAAAGATGAGAAAGGTCGCAAAAACGAATTCGGATGCTCAATATAATTATTTTACGCGGACATAGTCGCTGACACAGCTAGTGAGATATAATTGTGTATCGGCAAGACCCGTTCCTTTGAGGACGTTGAATAAACATTGGCGATACGGCCAAGGTTTCGAATATTGAATCATCGTAAGGCAACATTGATAATTTATCTCGTAACAACTGTAGAGTTGTATGTAATCCTACTAATATTATAAACGTGAAAGTTTGTATGTGTGAATGGATGTTTGTTACTCTTTCACGCAAAAACTACTGAACGAATTTCAATTAAACTTTCCAATAATACAGCTTATACATCAGAATAACACATAGGCCACAGTTTATTGAGATGTTGTGCGAGCTGTCCAAAATATGACGTTAAGTGTCAAGTAACTAGGAAAACACCTACCTTTCTGCGAGCTATTCTGGCGTGCGCCGCCATAAATGTTAGTTACACATAATTATGTAATGTATGATATGATAGACATCATTTAGTTTAAATGCGCGATACTACTCCCAATCCTAATCCTGCGTAGACGAAGTCGCGGGCACCAGCTAGTCTTACGACATATATGGCATGGATTGAAGGTAGATGATATACCCCGGCCCGTATCATCTATGGCTTTGGATATTCGGAAATCTAAAGACTAAAACCGTTCGTTACCCGGACGGAATTTCTATATTCCTAACACCTATTTAATTTCCAGATTTCCAGAGGAAGTCCAATGTGTTTTGGAAAAATCATAAATCGAAAAATTTGAAACATGTCGGACCTGGTGGGGATCGATTCACGGCCCGTTGACCATTAGCCATACATTGCTACCATTAGTACATCTGGCCCGTAGAAATGACACCCCGTCTCTCCTGTGGGGCATGGGGCATGGGGCGAACACATTAGTATATCCGTTTCACTTATAGGTTTTATTCACAGGCAAGTAGATGATCAGACTTCTGTGCCCTGCCGACGCAATGTTTTGTTTGATTCGAACCCAGGACGCTCTTAACGTAACGCTAGACAACACCTTTAACCATCCAGCTGCTGCAAAGGGCGAAACGTCGGGCCGTAGTTAAGTTATATTAAAAATAAGTCAACTAATATAATTCGCGTATTAAACTGTTCTAAATAATAAATACATAACTTCCTAAACGGAGTCGCGCGTGAAAGCTAGTAAATGTAGTCGTAATTGCGAAGTAGTTATCTACTAAGCGAGGACTATTTAAATTTTTATTAAAATCAGTTGAGCCAATTCAATATATGAAAACCAACATTTTGTTAAAATAAACTACTGTTAACGGTTTAAAACGCGAAATATATTAAATCCTTTAAAGGTGTGTTATGTAACAGACAATAGTCAGTTTTATCATTATATCGTGTTTAAAATAAATCACTTAAAATCAGGTCTTTGAAATAATTCTTTGGCGTTTTGTGTTCTCGTGTCAAAAGTCAACCGACTGCGCGTTTTAAAATGAATAAATTTGTATACATATAATGCAAATGCGATGTCGTAACCGCAATTAAAACAGTTTAATGTACTTTCAACGCTTCGTGACCACCTTCGGAGGTCACAGGTTCTAATTTTGGGGAGATAAAATGTTAGTTTAATTTATGTTTGTTGATCAATTTTAAATTAAAATTTTGAGAGGCTAATCCGAGCCACACTTGGCCGTTTTAGAAATATTACTATTATATAACCAAATGGAAAAATAAACCGATAATAGTAAGGTGGTTCCGTATATATGGCTAAATAGCCATTACAAATATATACGGTTTAAAACGCAATATATATATATATACTAAGATTTAATGGTATTGTATAAACAATTTTCACGACATGGGCACAAGATGAACCGGCATCACACAGTGTTCCGTGCTGTTGCTCTAACTAATTGAGCTACCGTGTCCTAACTCCTAACCACCGGTTCGAGTACTCTCCGTGTCGTTTTTTAAATCTAAAATCGATTTGTTTTATACAACGCCATCATGTGCAATAACATGTGAGAAACATAAAAAATTTCAAAGATTGAACGGTTTAAAACTCGAAATATATTATTTAATTATTTGTTGAGTACCGTACGCAGAGAGTGAAAAGGGTAACAAATTATTAAATCTTATAATCTCTTATTAGCTATTTATTTTTACTGTAACCATCGGTCTTGTAGTGTTGTTGTGACAACCGAAATGCGTACTTTGAGAAAATATAAAAATTAATTCAAGGTAGGTCGCGAAATCAGTGTAAACGGGGTTTTTACCGATACGGAACCCTAAAAATCGCATATCATTAAGGAAACGATATTCAAAGTCAAATGTAGGGTAAAACGTAATTAGGAATGAGATCAATCTCTAATCTATTTAATTAATGCATTTTCTTATCTGTGCACTTTCTAGAACGGTTCTCGTTCTATCATTAGGCACCCTCGACCTTAGTTATAAAGGTTTAATTATAAACGCCGTTTGAGTGCGGAAATACGTTACTTAAAACTCAGTTTCACTAAGAAAAAATGACGTCGGTTAAGCTAAGATCGTTCAAAGGCAAAATAGGCCGACAGCGCATGTTCACTGTGTGTTACAGATAGTAGTGAGTATTTTAACGAAAAGCATATAATTGAGCAATGATTTTGAACAAATCGCAAAGTCCATATTTAAAGAATAATGTTTCTGACTGGCAATTCTAAAATTTTGTTAATATTTCGGTTCTGTAATATATGTACAAATATATGATGCAAGCATTATACATTTTGTACATAAATTCAATTACCTTTTAAATATGCCACAATCAAGGACATGTTTTTAATAAATTGTGTAAGGCTTTCACGGCCGTCGCTCAGCATATCGGGCCGTGCAGCCCGAAAAACAATGATATATTGTTTATTGTCTTAAAGATACAATATAGGACATTCAAATCATCAATAAAATACCAAAGTATGTATGAAAAGTTAATTGAAAATATAAAACAAAGATATAATTGTATAATATTTGCATAAACGGCAAGCAAACACCAAATAACGAATCTTCAACGAACAACGTTTACGTTAACATATTATGTGTTTACGTACATGACAACTAATAAGCAATTAAGCAACTAAAATCGCTATATTAAGCATAACGTTTAAATTCGTTGTAAATTTTAAGCAGTTATTCACATCTCTATTTACATGTTCATTTCACGTGACATGGTTCATGCCAGGACACAAAGGTCACAAAGTTTAACGGTCGGTTAGGTTTAAACATAATCATAGCTTGACAGTGAAATTGGTCCAGAGTGACGTTGCAGTTTTCGCAACGTAGAATGAAATAAAAAAAAAATGTTGGAAAAAGTATTATCAGATTCGGCAACATATCGGCGATTACTTTTTCGATAACAAAGCCGAGCCTCAACGAAGAGTTATCTTTTAAAAGAAAGCAAATTCCTTTATATGATTTAAGTTTATTTAGCGATATATAAACATTTTCACAGTTCAAATTTGGTAGAACAAGAAACTAATTCATTATTACCTACTAGCTCTGCCCGTGACTTCGTCCGCGTGGAGTAGTTACTTTGGGTATCATATTATTCACTAGCTGTGTCAGCGACTTCGTCTGCGTAACGTCGCGGTCTTTTTTTAGATCACTTGAAGAGGAATCATTTTTTCAACGCGATATTTTAACTTAGGCCCGATGTTTCGGATGCTTTGCAGCAGCCGTAATCGCGGGGAAACTGAACTGAAACGTCGGGCCGAAGTTAAAATCATTTTCAAACAAATTTAATAAATATATCGCGTTTTAAACCGTTAAAGTGTTTTATTTAAATGTAACTGTAGACAGGAATCATTGTTTTAGACATATTTTTGTATCTTGAACTTGAAAATGTTTCCCCATTTTCCGCTATTTCTTCGCTTCTAATAGTCACGGCGCGATGTTATAGCCTATAGCCTTCCTTAATAAATGCTCTAACGAACACAAAAATAATTTTGCAATTCGAACCAGTAGTTTTTTAAATTCGAACCAAACAACCTCCTAGGCTTTATAAATTACAAGTTTAGTTATTACCTACGATGTCGTCCGCGACCAGTCCCGATTTTCCTGCTAATTACAAACGTGGATAATTTAAAATTATCATTACACTTATATTTATATAATCAACATATTGGAAACATACGGATCCCTTTTTGCAAGAATCCGACACGGACTTGGCTGTTGGCGCTTATTTTTTTATGACATAAGCAATAAGGGCCACAGCACGGATCGCTCACGATGCCGGTTCAGGTCCGGCCTGAGGCGAAATTTTTTTTCGATTTATAAGCATATTACATATAAACAAGATGCACTGTCGGCCTATTTTGGTTTGAAATAAACAGCCTGAAACCGAAACGCGATTGAACTTCGTGGTTTTTTCGAAATTCAAAACTCCTATCACTAATATCCACGTTTCAAGATGAAGTGCAACACTTTTCAGAAAAAATGAAATCTAAATTTTGTTGTCAGTTACGTAATTGGCTTATATGATTTCTACTTTTATTAAATGTATCAGAAAGAAAATTTATCGCACTGTACTTAACCCAAATTGTTAACCTCGATTTTGAAATTTTAAATTTAAAAAAAAACATCGCCCTGCCCTTTTACGATCAATCTTATAATGATAGAGCTGATAGCGAATACGGAATCTATGTATACATATCTTAAATCCTGTATGTAAAAAATACTGTCTATAGTTTACGCGAGTAGTTCACCTTTACATAAAACACTTTAACGGTTTAAAACGGGATATATTAGTTAAACTGATTTGAAAATGATTTTTAACTTCGGCCCGACGTTTCTCCGTCTCCCCGTGACCACGGCTGCTGCAAAGCATCCGAAACGTCGGGCCGAAGTTAAAAATCATTTTCAAATCAGGATAACTGATATATCTCGTTTTAAACCGTTAAAGTGTTTTATTTAAATCCTGTATGTAGTTTACGCGAGTACACATTTAAATAAAACGTCTTTCACGGTTTAAAACGCGAAATATATTAGTTGAATTTTTAAGATGACGCTGGACTGTCGGTCTGTTGAGGTTGGACGCTTAATTCTCTGGAACCACTGTTTCGAATTGAAAATTAGTTTTGTGTTGCTTAAAATATTTATTCAGGAAGGCTATAAAAATATGTATGATAAAATAATTCCTCTTTAAGTGGTCGACAAAAATGTTCTCGACAGTATTTGTCTATCTTCTACTAGGTAAAACAGCAGTCGACACACAAATTTCAAATCGTCATGTTTATTGATATCAAACAAAAGTGGTAAAAATAATTATCACTATTATCTTAAGTATTGTCCGTAATTCATACGAGACAAACTCTTATAACGGTTTAAAACGTGAACTCGGTAACTTAATTTCAATTTAAGGGTTTGCAGCAAGCCGTGGTCACGGGGGGAACTAAAAAGTCTTCACCGTGTATCCGTTACAAGTGTCCCATTTCAATCTTTCCATTTTATTGTTATAACGTCAACAGAAGAAGATAATTTGTGAAAATTTCAACACTTACGTTTTGTTTTACTCTCTCAACGATAGTATGAAATAACTCAATTAATAGACAGACCCTAGCCAAACAACATCTCAACAAGATGCACTATCGACTTATTTTGGTTTTGTTTTACCCTCTTAATGGCAGTATCTAGAAAAAATGAAACTATAGATACGAGAAACAGCAAGTGACCTCGAAAATTATTGAATTACATATCATAATAATAATGATTTAGTTAAAATATCAACGCATTGAACTTTGTGACTTCACGCTATAGATAAGTCTAAAATTGTGTTTGAAGATTACAACGATAAGGGCGAGTTATGAGGAATTTAAATAAAACATTTTGAACTGTTCGAAACGCGCAATTTGTTTTAAACGGGCGTATTAAGTTAAAATAAACCACTTTAACGGGTTAAAACGCGATATGTATTAGTTAAACTTATTTGAAAGTTATCTTAACTACGGCCCGATGTTTCTTGCCTCCCCGCGACCACGGTTGCTGGAAAGCATCCGAAACGTCGGGCCGTAGTTAAAATAATTTTCAAACAAGTTTAACTAATATATATCGCGTTTTAAACCGTTACAGTGTTCTATTTAAATGTATACTCGCGTAAACAACAAACGAGTTATGAAGGAAAAACATTAATAAAATAATCCATATTATTTGTTACTTGTACACAGGTATGAAGAAATATGCAAGACAATGCAAAACTTACGTATACCTATATAATGTTTTAGTTCTAAGAGGAAGGAAAAATAGGAAAACGGAATCTATTTCACAATTGGGAAATTATTGCTTGAATGTATACGAATATGCAAAGCTGGAGAGTTCGTTTGTTTGAACGCGCTAATCTCAAAAACTACTGGTTCGAATTGAAATAAATTGGTAATAAAACATCGCATCGTGACTAACACTTTTCTGTGTCCGTCTCATTGATCCGTTCTTTTAACGGGCAAGTAGTTGATTAGACTTCTGTGCCCTGCCCGACCGAAATATTTTTTTTTTGTTTCCCTGGGATTCGAACCTAGGACCTCCCGCGCTCAACGCAATGCTAAGCAATACGTTTAACCATTTGGCTACAGAGGCGGTCTAATTGTGACTAATGGGAGTGACGGAGTCGCGGTCACAGCTAGTGTGTTTAATAAGCCTTTTAAAGAATTTAACTTTAAAAGGGGAAAAAATCGACTAACATTATAATACATAATTTATGCGAGTGTTACAAATTGTTGCGTCCATTTTAAACGGTTAAAAACACGAATTAGTTACTTAATTCAATTTCTTACGACCGGTTTCGGCTGTTTTACCAGCCATGGTAATGGGTGGGCGGCAATTGTTTGCTGTTAATTTAACGCGTTTCAAACCGTTTTTATACGTACTTATGTAGTATCTAATCGTATTTATGTACGTTTTATGAATGCTAAATAGAGATAACTTGTTTTTTAATTTTAATTATCGTTAACAGGGTTAATTGTAATAATAATTATTAAACACTATCATTGCATTTAAATATTTTTAACTATACATAGCTGTGTCAGCGACTTCGTCCGCGAGAATCGATATTTTGGGCATCCAGATTTGGTTTTGCGAACCTCCTTTTTATCTTCATGAACTTAAACATAACATACGACGTCGGAAGTTAATCGTAAAAGATAAACATATAGTGTCGCGGACTTTTTTTTAGATCATTAAAGGAGGAATAATTCTTTCCAACATATTTTTTGGGTATCTTGAACCGTTTTCGCAGCGTACGCATCGAAAACCCACAAAAATGAATAATTTTCCCCATTATATCTCCTATTAGTTACAGGGCAATGTTTTTAGCCTATGGCTTACCTCGATAAATGCTCTAACCAGCACAAAAATAATTTTTCAATTCGACCCAATAGTTCCTGAGATTAGCGCGTTCTAATAAACTTTTCGCCATTATATATTAGTATAGACATATTTATTACATATTTTTGCAGAACTTAAAAAAAAAATGAAAACTCACATGGTGTATAGTTATAACTCCGTTCTGCTCCATTCTGACGTATATAAAATATCACAGGTTGAATAAATAAATACAACTAATCGTTACATCGAGTCACTCGTCATCGGAATCACATGTAACACTCCCGCCGAAGCCGCGCAAGAGTCGAACCAGGAACGAATCGATGATTTTATAGAAGAACAAGTTGTAATAGACGACGATGCACCATACTTCGATGACTGCGCGGGCGTCGATCGGCATGTACACGAGGTGCGCGCGCGTCGCGAGCGGCGGCCGCGATACGAATGTCGATCTGATAGTCGGTGTTGCCAGATTCGTGTCACGATAAACGCACTTTCTTTCACACACGGCCGGCGGGCACGAACAAAGCCACGCCGAAACGAACCGAACGGGACTTAATTATTGTAGAACAAAAGTTGCTGACAATACAATACGCCAAAAATGTTGACATTAGACAGTACTACGTCCTGACATACAGCAATAAAATTGAGTTACTGTTAATCTATACTAATATATAAAGTTGAAGAGTTTGTTTGTTTGAACGCGCTAATCATAGGAACTTCTGGTTCCAATTGAAAAATTCGGTAGTTAGAGCATTTATCCACGAAGGTGTTTAGCTGTAAATATAGTGCTGCCACCAAAGGAGCGAAGAAGTGGGAAATGTGTATGAAATGTGGTACAACCGCGGGAAATTATTTAACGTTGAGAGATTCCATTGCGTGCGCTACGAAAACGGACCAAGATACCCAAAAAGTATATTGGAAAGAATGATTCTTCTTTAAATGATCTAAAAAGTCAGTAACAGTATACTTATGTCTAAATTTTATGATTAACTCGCAAGAACGACAGGACGCGGACGACGTCGTGGGTAACAGCTGTCACTTATAAACCCGAGGAGGTTGATAAAATAAAATATGCCCAAAGGAAATATTCAACGCCAACGAAGGACAGAGCTAGTCGATGATAATGAAATTAATGATTAGTACTTATGACAGAAATGTTAATCGCTAGGAAGAGGTTTAAATCTTATCTGTCGATAACACAAAATTTCTCACTCTAGGTGTACTCTAAAAGGACGACATCGCAAGGCGAAACCGCCGCGCGCGGCCACACTGTGCCATCGTACGATTTTCAAATTACGTGCGCATGCGCATATTGATAAGGAAAGTGATATAAGCGGGTCACACTGTGAAAAATACGTTTGTGGGCTTCTTTTACGTAAACGGCCGTTAATGTATGCTTATGTTAATATATACTTTAAACCTGTTCGCGTTAGACATTGGACCTTAGTGGATTTATCGTGCGTTTTGTTATCGCATTAATTAGAATCGAACCCTTGATTTGACTGTAAGGAATTTTGAACTGAATTATCAAAAGTTTTCGTTAGTTATTTGTGTATTTTTATATTATTTTTTTTTTATTTCTTATTAAGAGTTAAGGGATTGTTTTCACACATACTCCACTAAACATTATTCTAAGTTTATTTACGGTAACGTTTAATTTTAGTTTAGTTAACTAAAAAGCTTGTGGTTCTGTAGTTGCTAGTCATTCCTTCTCCTCGGGGGCACATAAACCTGTGTGTGCATGTGCGTGCACATGTTGAGTGCTTTCCCCCATTTCCCAAGGACTCTTATGGAGTTTCCTTTTTTATCCCTCTTTATTTATGCAGTTAGTAAGCCAATATTTAAGTTATTAATGTCTTGAGAAATAAATGATTTGAGTTTTATGTTATTCACGTGTTTCGTTTACAATTCAAAACCTATAACCTACCTGATATAATAGCAGTTAGGCACAATGGCATAAGATATTTATTTAGGACTAATAACATAACATAACATAAATATAACATTTCTGCAACTAAACACTGTCTATAGTTCACGCGAGCAGTACACATTTAAATAAAACACTTTAACGGTTTTAAACGCGCTATACTAGTTAAACTTATTGGAAAATGATGTTTAACTTCTAACGAGTCTCCCCGTGACCACGGCTGCTGCAATGCATCCGAAACGTCGGGCCGAAGTTAAAAATCATTTTCAAAGTTTAACTAATATATCGCGTTTTAAACCGTTAAGGTGGTTTATTCAAATATCTGCAACTTTTCTCACAGAAACTGTGAAATAAATTTATTTCATTGTTTTTTCCTGTGCTATCTGATGTTTTTTGTTTTTATTTTTTAATGATTCATTGTACTTATATTTCTTATCTTATGTATTATCTATGATTTCACTTATGCCTGACGTAACGTTAAAAATGCAAAAGAAATTTGCGTGATTAAAATCAATCAAGCTTCAAGTTAATTTAACATATCTAAACTAATATATAAAGCTGAATAGTTTGTTAGTTTGTATGTTTGAACGCGCTAATCTCGAGAACTACTACGGTACTAAAGGTAGTTAAATATAATAGAGTTAGTAGAAATAACATAAATTTTCGTTTCGTTGCAATATGCTACAAAAGTCGGTATTATTCCGCACGTAGAAATTCGTGAAAATCTTAGAACATAAATACTTAGTTTTCCTTTTCTGAACAAAAACCTTTGGTAAGCGCTGAAAGATTCAACTTTGTAGTCTACGGGAGAGACCGTCTTTAGGCTTCTGTAGGCAAAGGATAATTTTTTTCTAGGTAATATTTCTCTGGCCCTACAACGCCCAAAAAAGGTATATAAACTTTTATACATTTTAAAAACGCAAATTGTATAAAAATTTATTTACACCTTATTTTAACTACGGTCAGACGTTTCGGTTGTTTTTTAAGCCCCGCCACCAAGACTCCTGTCCAAAGCATCCAAAACGTCGGGCCGTAGTTAAAATTACTAGTAAAGTTAACTAATATATTTCGCGTTTTAGGCCGTTAAACCTTATTTAAATGTGTACTATTCGCGAAAATTGCAGACTATATTTAATATCAAATTCAGTGCAAATAAAACTCCTGAAATATTTATTTTTATATCACGCCTATCTGATTAACTCTCTGTTCTGTTATAGAGCAAAATCGAAAAAAAATACTGAAATATTCAACTAAGACAGCAGACAATCAAGGTGAGATTACATTTCCCACGTTCAAAGTAAAATCCTTTAAAACACGGAAGTTTGAATGACGCAATGAGTTTTTGTAGAAAAATTAAGTTCAAAGTCCACTAATCTCATTAAAATGGATTTGGTAATTATTAATGAGATTTTTGACCGGATTTTTGGTTCAATGGTAGCTAATCAACATACCGTGGATTGTGGTGGACAGAAATGGCATCGGGTCCACTTGATGATGGGTGATATACCCCTGCCTATATGATCTAAATAAGATGTCGACCTATTTGGGCTTCTTCATCTGTGGACGGTGGTTCGAGGCCCAAACGGAATTTCTATCAATCTCAACCTTCTTCAAGATAAATCGAACTTGCTATAGTGGTAGACACGCGGCCGGCAAAATAAAATACTTGGCATGTAATTTAAAAATGGAACGACCCAACATGGCGACCGAGGAGGTAACTTTTCAAGGCTTTAATTTAAATTTCGAACTGCATTGCACATGAAAGCTGTTTAGTGAAAAAAATGCTTTGGCGCGTAAATAACATCGTCATTGGTTTTAAAGTTTCGACTACTAAGTTTTACTTTCCGCGCATTAAAAGCCGTGTTCACAACCAGGCATCGTGGGACTTACTTAAATTCATACGTTCGTCTAGCACTTATACACATATAACATGCGTTTTTATCGTTTAAGCTGATTTTTTAACAATAATAAATTAATGGTTTAAATAAAATTTACGTCATACTAAAACCCTTTCCGGGGATTATTTATGTTATTAAATATTTTATTACTCTCTGACCCGACAAACCCGAGAACTCTTAACAAATAATTTGTAAAAATGCATTAATTTCGACCAAAATCTGAATACCATAAAACAGTTCTTGTAATTTTAAAAGATAGACAGTCGCGTACATTTTTGTAGATCATTGAAAGATCATTCTTTAATACATATTTTTGGTCTCTTGAACCGTATACGCAGCGCATTCACACCCCATTTAAGGGAAGTGGTGGGTGTCCGCAACATCTCAATTTTTGCGGACCTCTAACTAATAAGGGTTGCAGTTATATCGTCGTAGCATCACTGTCGCAGCATGCGCCCTGTTTTGGTTAAGGCGTTTTACGACGGTAACCATCGTTCACGACTTGGGGATAGCGGCTTCAACGCCAGTTCCGTCTCAACTTCCAAACTAGCAACATCTTTTCGTCATATAAGATTATTGTAATTCTTTTAATATTAATAATGTTGTCTTTTTATAAGCGTTCTGCTATAACACCCAATTTAGCTGTCGTTTCCAGTATCGAGTCGTCAGGTCGTTGGAAGGTGTGTTTACAACTACGAGTATTAGTCAAAACATGTTTTCATTTTTGGAAACATTGACCCAATCCATTATGGCATTTATAAAATTTTACTCGCGATTCGAATATGGTGTCGTCTGCGTCACGTCGTTCATGCGGGGTTTTTTAAAGATATTAGACATACTGTCCCGGGCATTTTTTTACATCTTTTAAAGAAGAATCATTATTTTATACCAATTTTTGGCTCCTTGAACAGCTTTCGCAGCGCACGCAACAGAAGCTCTAGAGATTAATAAGATTCGCAGTTTTTTTTTACCGTCAATCTGTTTCTTCCCTGCTATCTAAAACCTAATGTTTTATAGGCTAAAGTCTTGCTCGATAAAAGCTCCAACCAACACAAATATGTTTTTGAATTTAAACTAGTAATTCCTGAGATTAGCGCGTTTAAACAAACAAATAAACTCTACTACTACTAACTCTTAAAAGAGTTAGTAGTAGTAGAGTTTATTAAACTTGTCTTCTTGCAAAGCCTTCAGTTATTACTTACACATATAGATAACTCCTGAGTTAATTGGAGGTCAGTGTTGTGTCGCCAGGTCGTTGGAAGGTGTGTCCACGCATTTACGAATAGTCGTCAAAACATGTTATGATTTTTTTGGAAACATTGACTCAATCCATTATGGCACTTATCGAGTGTGTCAGTTTGTATTTGTTACTGAGTTTGTGAACAAGTCATTGTACGATTATAAAACATACTTGTTCGTGGTTGTTGTTCCAACGTATTACCTACCGTTGTCGTACTGCTGAGCATGGCTTTCATTGCAGGAGAGGTGTGTGACCATTAAGGGAGCTTAGATCCACCACGCTGCTCCGGTACGGTTTTAAGGTAATCTAATCTTAGGAACTATCAGTTCGAATTGAAAAATTATTATGTCGGTTAGAGAAGGCTATAAATATAAAACAGCGGGAAATGTGAAAAAAAATATTATTCATCTCTCACGGATTTCGTTGCGTGCGCAAAAAACGGTTCGAGAAACCAAAAAATACGTAAGAAAGAATCATTCCTCTTCAAGATGTCGTCGTAGAGCTCGCGCGATCGACGGGACGCGATCGTCGTCGTTCTATACCCAGATTTTCAGACGAAGTCCATGTTTCAGAAAAAATATAAATTGCTTTAAAACATATTGGACACGATAGGGACTTACTTTTAAAAGTTATATGGCTGGAATATCTCACCTTCCATCAAGTAAACCGCTCGTCTGTTCATTATCAAAAAAAAAATAACTTCTCAATGATAATCATTACAAACTCCTAGAAACAATTTAAATAAAACACCTTAACAGTTTAAAACGCGATATATATTTATTGAGTTCAACTACTGTATATCGCGTTTTATGTACACCGTAACCATGGCTGCTGCAAAGCATCCGAAACGTCAAGCCATTGTTAAAATAATTTTCAAATAAGTTTAACTAATTTATATCGCGTTTTAAACCGTTAAAGTGTTTTATTTCTAAGTGTACTCGCCTAAACTACAGACAGTATTTTTTAGGTATAAACGAAAAGTCTAAGTGGTTGATTCCATTCTTAATTGAATATAATAAAACAGAACAGAATTATATAATAGTACAATTGACATAATTATGTTGCGAATGTCGTCAGCATCAATTAAATTCATTACGACCCGCTATAAACCAATCAACACGGAATAGTTAACACAATCAATAGAAAACCTTGGACATACATCAATATAAGTATATATCTTTAAAGGATTCGTTGATAAAAAAATACAACTGATAATACTTTTCCCTATTGACATTTTGTGTAGTCTAATGGCCAAGTGCGATTTGGCGCGTGCCACGTAAAAATTACTGTTCAAGAACATGTCTCTTTCTTCCAAACATTTTTTAATGGAGAAAGACGACTCGTGAGCAAGTATTTAGATATACAATAATATACAAAAGAGCATATAATAGTTAACTTATTTCCTAATGCAAAGTATTCCCGCGACTACGCCTGCTGCAAACCATCCAAGATGTCGGGCCGTAGTTAAAGTTATTTTCAAATAAGTTTAGCTAATTTATTTCGCGTTTCAAACCGTTCAAGTGTATTATTTAAGTGAAAAGCGTCAGATACGTTGAGTTATACTTACAAATAAGTTATATATTTCGAGTTATAAACCGTTAAAAGTGTTTTATTTAAATGTGTCGGCTCACGGAAACAGCAGACAATGAATAACTAAATGTCTACATGGATGCAATAGTTTGATGTTTGGATTTCAAAATGCATAAATTATTTTATACATGTTTAATGAGGAAGTAGAAAGGAGAAGGATCTTACAAATTGCAGAACAACGACAAGGGAGGAACAGGAATACAGGCGATGTATCTGTGTGGACAGGACTCCTGGAATAATTAAGTTATCATTTTTAAATCATTTTCTATTGGGGACACTGCTTGAAGTCACCTTCTCCATGACCCCGAGGTTCTTAGGCAACCCATCATATGTGGGGGGGGGGTTTAACAGCTCCTAATGTGTCAAAACTTGTTGTTGACTGGGGAGACTGTGACCACAGCTGATACAAATCATCATAGTTAAAAATAATTTTCAAATGAGTTTAATTAATATATATCGCGTTTTAAACCGTTAAAGTGTTTTATTTAAATGTGTACTACTCCAGTTATTTATCACTCAGCGTTTTATCTGTGTCTTCCAAGAAAATAATAATAATGGCCTAGTAGACTGAAAAGTGCTTAAGTCACTCACCTAATACCATAGCTAGAAGAAGGACAGAATTTCTTCATCAAAATAGTGTTCAGTGTCACCGACTTTTGTCACCTTTGCCCCATAATTTCTGAAAGAAATAATGTTTCAATATATATGCATAAAGTTTACTCACAATATGACACAAAAGGCTTTTTATTTAATTTCAAACAAACAGCACTGTGGTACAATGGTTAAATGCATTGCCTAGCATTTTCCCTGGGTGCCTAGTCTAGTTTGAAGCCTGGGGAAACAATAGTTTCAGTATAGCTAAGGCACAATAGTCTGATCAACTATATACTTTTAAGAACCCACCACAGATGTGGGTCTGTGACATTTCCTTCCAAATCTAATTCTTTGTGTTGAAATAAGTAGGTATAATAGATAGCTAATATTGGACAATAAGATAAGAACACAAAAGCCTTCAATATGACCTTGGATGAACTTATGATAACAATATTGAGATTTCTTCGTCTTATTGGCTAAAGTGTCACAGATAAGTCAAGATTTGAGATAATTCAAATGAATAATTTATATACAAGAATGGGGAATATTTTTAACTTACAGACAAATTAAAAATATATTTTGCACTGAGTCCCTTGTCTTATTCATTTTTTACATTTTTATCTTTCTAGAAAATCTGGACTCATGTGCTTATCACTGGTAAGGATATGAAAATTTTGCTTGTCTGTACTCCTTTTATACATAAAAATACAGGCATAATACATATATACATATTGTAAAGAAAAACAAGTGTCAGTTTCAAATTTATTTGTACACTTTCTACCGATACAGGCTAAACATTTCATAATTCCCAATGTATGGTACACCATAACAGTGTCGGTATAATAGAACTTCAGACAGTGGAATAATTGGCTAATTATCTCAAAACATAATGTACAATGTAAAACCGGTTTCGTGTAAACACTTGCTACTTATGAGGACGTTCCTCCCTTTCTATATAATGTCAATAGAAAACCTCCTTACCATTTATACTTACTCGTACTATTTTATATATGTATAAAAAGGCAAAAACACTGATAAAATGTATAATCAAAGACGCAATTTCACAAAAGCGTGTAGGCAAGTTTATGTCCTTACAAGTCACATCGAAAATTATCTTGTAAATATTATTACTTACCACTTGATTTATGGAGATTGCTGATGCTGATAAGTAACTATAACAAATTTATCTTATCTGAATAAAAATAACCAGATGTTTTGTGGAAAATCGGGACCAACACGATTACGAAAACTATGAAAACCAACCACAAAATTTCGGCAAGAAATCCACAAATAAACGTCAAATATTTGCCGAAAGCGAACCATATACAAACTTCATAGACTGCCATTATGATATTATCTGTAGACGTCTCAAAGTTATTTATGGACTTATAAATTATTATCTTTTCACATCAATCGCTAAATTAGCTTCCTATAAACATTTTATTCGAATTGTATTATAATGTGTTTAATATTATTCAAAATGCAGTACTTTTTTTAACTTTAAGATTTTTCCCATGTTATTGCACATGATGGCTATATAAATTAAAAAATCAACTTTAGATTGAAAAAAAGACCCGGGCAGGACTTGAACCGGCATCCACAGCGTTCCGTGCTATGAAAATGTTTTCAATCCAAATCTATTTTAATTATTATTTATGTAGAATGTATACAGATAACACTAGACATAACATTTGTGTAACACATTAATTCCTATATTATTATGTCATTGACATCAGTAACGTTAAGTGTCAGCTGTCATTAAAATATTTTTCAAATAGCATGGTGTCTTTGTTTTTACTTTTTATCGCCCACACTTAGTTTAGAAAATCTGTCCTTGATAATTGAAAACCTAAATTCTATGTGTCGCAATGGGCCTCCATGACATCGGCCTGCCCCAGGAGAAGCTTCCACAGTGCTGGTCTGACGATGTGCGGATGAATGCTCTCTTTGCACCCTTTCGATTAAAGTCCGCCAATCCAGAATCATGGGATATGAAGATGAAATTTTGGTCCGACATCGCGCGTCGGTGGTGTATACATAAAAATGACCCAATAATATCCGCGTCGGACATAAAATTCGCTTTTCAACGCAACGGTCGAACGCCTGCCTGCATAGACATTGTGGTTGAAGAAATGTTTCGGTTAGTGACGGTTTTTAACAATTTTTTACATTAAATATATTTAATGAGTTTATGTATAAAGGCTAATTGACATCAAATGTTGTAAAAATTATGGACTAAAATTTTTTTGGGGTGGACTTAAAATATACTTAGCGATTTGGTTTTTGATTTTAAGTTTTGTTTTAACTTGGTATATGCTAATTCTACAAAAACTGCGCAGCGCCGGTATTCAGTGATCCCATTTAGAGTACTTATTTTATAGGTACAGTTCTTCAAAATCACATAAATTTTGAATATTCTGTTTTTATTTAACAATATTCATAATCTATGTTTAATAATAGCACTATAAATCTCTACTGTCAATATGAAAATAATAAGCACTAAAATTAGTAAAAAGTAGAGTTCTCTGCTCTGGTGGTGTTTTAATATAAAAAAGTTATTAATATTAATGATAATAATACTTTTACTTGAAATATGTAGTTATTTATTAATACTCAAAATACAAAAAATTAACTTTCTTGGTATATTTTAACTTATTCTTGAATAAAGGTGTTTTCTTAGTCTATTTAAATAATTCCTGTAACAGATGTTCAATTTTGTATCTGAAGATGTGATCATGAAATTATTTTTATTTTTTAGAAGCGGTGAGCTGTGTCCCCTGTCTAAATATCAGCAGATCCTGCATAATGGCCCAGAGGGCTGGGTCTTGTGGGGAGCAAAACTTGCTTTCAAACCGGCCGCTTTGGCTCTAACAGCTGTAACCTCTTTGTTGCCTACCCGACAAACTGTGGACAATGACGGTTTGCCAAAGAGCAATATAGACTCAACACAAAGATTTGTCCTGGAAAGTGTTCTCAAGGTAATATCTGAGGTACTTATGTGTATTTGTAGATGTTTGTACAAAAAGCACTTCTTCCATTTCACTTTCTCCTAGTTGATTGTTTGTTCTTTTTTACGGCATAGGCTGCAGAATTGAGTTTGCTCGAGGCTTTCCTGATATGAGATCCCCATTATAATTTGGAGTCTACGCTACGGTACGCCCAGAAAGACAGTTTCATTGACCAATTCTATCTCATCCTCCCTAACACTGGTTTTAGCTAACCTAACATTATTTAAAGTGATTATGTACAGCTGTTCCTTGAAATCTTAATTAAGGCTTCTGCTGAAAATTTGCCGCTACTTGGGTTTTGCCTTAGTAAAGGAATACAACAATGTAATGATGTCCTCTACTTAGATGATGAAATGTTGAAAATAATGTGTCAAATATGACAGCTAAATAGCATGAAAACCTGAAAAGTTTTCATGTTTATGTAATAGCTTGATTTTCCATTTGTGACACTATGTAGAGTTTGGATGATTGTTTACATATCACAATACGTGATAGCTTTAAAAAATTAAACCAAGCATTTGAGCATTCAAACATTTCAATTTATATTGAATATTTGAAAATGACATATTATATATAAATTATTATTATTTTCTATCAAGGACACCTGTAGTAGGCCGGGTGATCAGTCTACACCATCAGCTGACAACTAAATGCTTAGCTATACTTTTTGAATACTTTATCTTCCTTGTCAATAAGACAGAGTAATTTAAAAAAAGTCCATTTGTTTGCAGGATCAAGCGATAGAATTTCTCAATAACTACCCCCCTGGTGTGGAGAGAATTGGCACTATTGAGGATCTGATGAGAAATGTGGAGCACGCGAAAAGAGAAACATTTGAGTTGCTAATCGGGTACCTGGTGTCCCAGGGTGCAGCTGTTAAGAAAGATGACATTGTAAAGTTGGGTAAGTCTTATACTTGCCCGTTAAAAGAACGGATCAGTGAAACGGACATAGAAATATGTTCTCCCCCATGCCCCACGAGGGGAAAACGCGCTTTCACGTTACATTATATTTTTAAATCATAATATCAATGTTGGAACGTTAGTCCCGATGTAGCGAAGCTTCGTTTTCAGAGACTCTAGAACTATATTGGTGTATTTATTCAATACTAGCTGCGCCAGCGACTTTGTCCGCCAGAATCGTTATTTTGGGCATCTAAATTAGTTTTTGCAAACCTCGTCATGTTTATAGACTCAAGCTGTTTGTCGCGACGTCGGTCGCGTCCCTTCCCGTCGTTCTTGCGAGTTAATTTAACAAGACATAGCGTCTCTGATTTTTTTTACACCATTTAAACAGGAATCATTTTTTCATACACATTTTTGAACCTGAAACATCTGAAACCCACAGAGATGAAAAATTTCCCCCGTTTTGTTCACATTTCTCGCTGTATCTTCGCTTCTATTAGTCACAGCGCGATGTTTTATAGCCTATAGCCTTCCTAGATAAATGATCTAACCAACACAAAAAGTTTTTTTTTAAATTCAAACTCGCAGTTCCCGAGATTAGCGCGTTAAAACAAAAAAAAAACTCTACAGCTTTATGTATTATATTATAGATTGAATCAAATTTGTATTTTTGTAGAATAAATTTTAATTGTCATTTGTGTGTTGTTTCTGCATAAATATGTTCCTATTGTATAATATTTAACTGAAAATCAATTTACCACCTCTCTATGTCTGTATGCTTAAACATGTTGCCTAGCAATCTTTCGTACCCAAAAAATGTGTATGAAAGAATGATTCCTCTCTAAATGATATAAGAAAGGACCGCGACGCTATATGTCTATCGTTTAAGATTAAATTGCAAGAACGATGGGAAGTGACGGTACTGACGTCGTGGGTAGCTTAAGTTTATACAGAAGAAGGGATATACAGAAACGAATTTGGATGCCCAAAGCGGACGAAGTCGCTGGCACAGCTAGTATTAAATATAATTGACCCGTGAAACAACACAGAAAGATTACTTATAGAAATGGTTAGATCATGTAGACTGGTCAACAGCCTATCTAGCGTCTCAAATACTTCTTACCATTTACACTTTTTCTCAATACATACATTGTATATGCTTATAAAGTTTAATTATTATAATACACATGTTCGCAGCCGAACCGAATAAGACAGTGGATCCTATAAACGAGTTAGATGCAGCTCTCGTAAAACTGATGTCGGCTGAGAAACGGCTTAACGATGACCTGATGCGACTCAACAAGGAGGTGCTCTCCGTTGATAATGATGTTAGAGCTGCTCTTAAACTCGGGAACAAACTTGCAGTGAGTACTTACTATTTTTTTCTTTTCTTTCTTCCTATATAACTTTCAAATAAAACACTTTAACGATCATTTTCACATAAGTTTAACTAATATATCGCGTTTTAAACCGTTAACTTGTTTTATTTACTCGCGTAAACTATAGACAACACTTCAACTTGTCTGGCTGTTTGGCATGAACAATTTATGTTAAGCGACTGTTAGGTAATCTGTGTCCCCACCAGGTCCATCTTGTTCTAAAAAAAATTCTACTTTGTTTAGAGAATTTAAATAGCTAGTAAGTATAAAATTAATTAGTCTGGGTTTCGAACTGACATCCACATATGAGGAAATGAAGCATAGTCGCTATATTGATTTCTGATTTTCCATAAACAAAATAAGACGACAACATATCTTGCTAGAGGCAGTGTGGCCTAATAACAAAAAACATGATTTCCAATAAGGAGCGAAAAAAATGTGCAATGAACTTATCAGAAAATGAACTTGTACTATTATTTGTGTAAGAATTATGTTAACAATTTTCGATCACTGTGCTCTTGTACATTAACATTTTTAGACTATAAACATATAAATAAGTCAAGTCATAAAATTGCAAAAAAAAAAATTGCAGTTAGGCCACTCTGACCCTAGCAGCCTCATGTATTGTTTAGCACACTAAAATTGCTTGTTGCTTGCTTACTAAGTTGCTTGACTGGAACATTTTTTCTACTTGTGTGTATACCAATAAACGTTAACTCAATTATCATTTTTAAGGCTAAGAAGCACCTCCGACGCAAACACATGGTACAACAGAGAGTGGAAAAGTGTGAAGCAGCATTACTTAATGTGCAGCAGCTGCTGCAGCAAACGAGGGAAGTGGACGTCAACACAGCTGTAGTCGATACATACAGGTATATATTTTTTACTGTATTTATAATGAGCGGCTGTGTGTGGTGTTGTAAATTTAATATTGATTTTTGTCTCAAACGACTAATTCACATCCATTTGTGAATTTATATCAGTAGTATTTTCCGTTTCAAGTAATCCATTTATTTCTACTTGAATATAAAAAATATACCACTTTAATGATTGTGCTGGTCAATATAAGTATTGATTTTTTTTTCTATAAGAAAATATATACACATATCCTTATAATAGTCTGAATGCTCATCGTGACTTCTTGGTTTGTACATAATCTAACAATAATTGTTAAAGTTGTAAATACGTCTATTATAAAAGATGCTAATACAATACTGTTACGTACAAGGTGTGCTGATTGATGTGTTTTTGATTTCTTTCTTGAGATCCCCATCTATTAAATCATAGTAGTTTACATTCAATATATGAAGATGGCGCTGTTCGCAACAGTAATAAACTACATAAAAAATATTGTATCATGAAGGAACTTACTTTGTAAACAGGCTCAGCGCAAAGGCAATGAAGAACACCATGAAGGAGGGTGGTCTGGAAGAGGACCTCGTTCATGACACAATGGATGACCTTAAAGAGGTGAGGTTTTACTTCTAAAACGCAATCTCTTCAGACTGTGGGACCGGCCTTTTGAAATATACAACTGCCTATAAGGGCTCCCACACGTAAACACGACACGACACGACGCGACGTCGCATCGTGTAAATCTACGATGAACGTCCTAAAAAAAACACGACATCGTAACGTGATGTTCCACTCTCGATAAACGGCACGATGCCGACCTCTTTCCATGCTGTTGCTTTTGCATTTTTATTCCTGTATTCTTTAGATGTTTTGTCCTATAGTACGGAACGCGGCTCGACTAGGTTAATTAAATGATCGACTTCACTAGCATCCGTCATCATTGAATTTTGAATATCTACTGCGCAGGATCGCATCGTGAGTTTCTAACGTCGTATCACGCATCAACACGTTACGACGTCGTGCCCTGAAACGACGTGGCATCGTTGTACGTTGCGTCACCGTAACGTGTTTATGTGTTTGAGCCCTAAAGTAGGGTAATAGTATAGTAGGGTATATAACATTTAAAATTGAATAAAAGGACATATTAGTTGACTAATATTTAAGAACTGTGACAAGACCCCCGTGATCACAGCTGCGTCAAACGTCGGGTCGGATTTACACGGTATTTTTTCAGTTATAAACCGTCAAAAGTTTTCTATTTAATTTGTCACGTTACTCAGATAAAACGACCTATAAACAAGGCATGTACATATTTACTTTAAGTTAAAAGACTTGTGATATGTTGTCTTCAGAGGCAAATAAATTTTTTTCTATTTTTTTTCTTTTTCATCTTTTTGTTGTTGTTATTGGAGGAAATATGTAATCAGGTCACTGTGTCTGCGTTTCATGTTCAGTATATAACTTCTTGAACTTGTGTTTTTTCACTAAATGGTTATTACTTATTACCTTCAGGTGATGGATAGTTACAACGAAGTGGAGCGGGCGTTAGGTGGAACCATCGATGATGTGGACCTCAACGAATTGGAGCAAGAGCTGAACGAACTGCTCTCCGGCCCTGGCGGAGGCGAGGGGGGCACGCCGCAGAAGGACAGGGGTGAGTAACATTTGCAGATGTTTTTCTGTTAGAGCTGGATGGTAGGTGACTCCAGCCTATAGCATCTGAACGTGACATATTTTGGCTTGGAAATCCACAGACTGAAACCCAAAACGCGATTAAGCTTCACGGCTTTTTTATCTGTGGATAGTGGTTCGTGTGTTGTAAGGAATTTCTATATTCCCACCACCGATTTAATATTCAGATGGAAGTCTGGATCCAGACTTGACTTTGTGTGTGTTGGAAAAAGTTTAAACATATTGGACTTGGTGGGGTTCGAACCCAAGACCCGTTGGTTTAGTCATACATTGTTACCATTAGGCCAACAAACCAGTCTAGGACCTACTGCCGTGACAATTAAGTTTTGAATACTGTCTACAGTTTACGAGAGTAGTACACATTTAACTGACGCTCGCCCGTCTCCCACGTCGTCTACCCGTGACCACGGCTGCTGCAAAGCATCCGAAACGTCGGGCCGAAGTTAAAGATCATTTTCAAATAAGTTTAACTAATATTTCGCGTTTTAAACCGTTAAAATATTGAATTTTTAAATTAAGTTTTGAAGTTAAAAACTGACAAATGAATTTTCTTAGATCATTCAAAGAGGAGTCATTCTTTCATACATATTTTTTGGGAATCTCGAACCGTTTTCACAGCGTACGCATCGGACCCACAAAGTTAAATAATTTCCCCCGTCTTCCCCTCACTTACTCTCATTTACCTCATTTTCTCGTTGTTTTTAGATCGTCGATAAATCCTCTAACCAAGACAAAAATAATTTCAGATATAAAACTGCCCTCGCCACCTATGGCGAAACCCAAAAGGGTCTCCGAAAGGGACTTTGTCTTCGATGGGGAAGAGCAAATGTTGGCTGACCTCAACCAGCTGGATCTGGAGGACGCTAGTCCCCGAAGGGGGAGAGGAAAACAGCCCGTGCCCCTTGTTGTGGGAGGTGAGCTAATTTAATAGTTAGCTTAGGAATACATGATATGACTTTGTCATTGCTTTAGGATATATGTATATATTAAGTTTTGAAAATTTCTTAATAATTTATGTCTAAAATCTTTTTAATAAATTTTATCACTAAATCGTATTTTGCAGCCAAATGAAAAATTATATTAAAATGTTTAGGAAACATAGCGCGTCATATAAGAGCGTATGAGCGTGTATAGTATTTACAGATATAATATTGCTCAAACTGTTGGTTCTGTATTCATACAAATATGTTTCTTTCTTACTAAATAGATTAGCATATATCCGGTTTGGTTTTGCAGCAGGCGTGGTCGCGTGGACCCTAGTAAATAATAGATTTCGCGTTTTAAACCGTTTAGTATTATTGAAAACATACATAATCTGAACTAAAGAGTCCCGTGTGGTAAATTAATTTTAATTTTGTTTTATTTCAGAATCTTCAAAAGAACCCTCGACAACCAAGTCTTCGAAGGTGGATAAATCGAAACCGTGGTACCCCCCGGAGGGTGAGTGCTTACGGGATAACTGGAGTCGACCAGACTCAAACCTCCAGGACCTCAGTCGGGAGTACGCGGAACTTAGACTCGACGAGAGACTGCATCCAGGTGAAGATATGAACATCTACTTGAGGATTTATGTCACTTTTCTGACTCAAAACTTGCTGGAACAATTTTTATTTTTTTGTCTACTACAGGTCTGAAATGGGGTGTTATATTTTTCCATAACTTTTACTTGTATTTATGGTTAACCCGCTTTCGTCCACTGCTACAGGCCAAGAGCTGAACGTGGACTTCAGCCGGTCTCCGCGTCACTTCGGCGCCGAGTTCCAAGTCCGCGACCACAAGAGCGCCTCCGGGGTGTGGCTCTTCAACAGTGAAGATACGAGGCGGGCTGACCTCGCCGCGAGCACGCGCTTCTCAGGGTGAGTCCTGTCTGTATTTTACGCGAATAGTACACATTTCAATAGGACACTTTAACGGTTTAAAATGCGATATATATTAGTAAAAGTTATTTGAAAATTGTTCTCACTACTATCCGACGTTTCTTTTATATAGTAGAGATTTACTAATCCAATACTAGATACTGTCTGTATTTTACGCGAGTAGTTAACGATTAAATAAGACATTTTAACGGTTTAAAACGGGATATATTTTAGTTAAACTTATTTTAATTGCGGTCCGACGTTGATGACGATGATTTGTGTTGCCCCGTGGTCACGGGGAGACTAAAGATGGACGGTGTCTCTGACGTCAAAGTCTATCGTCGAAACGTCGGGTCGTAGTCAATTATATATCGCGTTTAAAACCTTTAAAGTGGTTTATTTAAATATAATTTTAATTTCGAAACTTTGACCTGCCGTTAGTTAAAAAAACATTTCGTAGTTTATTTGATTTTATTTTAATTAATTAAAATTCTACTAAATTGACAATTCGTATAATGTGTCATCGTCAATTGTAGAGCATCCAGTCCGGGAAAGGCGGAGAGCTCGTTTCTGATGGCGGTGGGTGGCGAAAGGAAATCCCCCACGCAGCCGTCACCCACTCCCGCCTCCCCCTCGAAGACCTCCAGCAGTGACGACGACCTTCAGGAGCTGCAGAAGAGACTCGACAGCTTGAGAGGTTTCAAGTTATAGTTGATTAGTTAAGTGTAGAGTTTTTTTAAGTCATCCATTATATTTTTCACTCGACAACACTAAATACATCTGTGTACTTGTAATATTAAATTAATGTAAATATAGATTAAAAATCGAAAATAAATTGATAAAAATTTCGACTCGGGCCGGACTTGAACCGGCGTCGTCAACGGTCTGTACTCTAACCAATTGAGCTACCGTGTCTTATACGTTATCGTCGAATTTTTCAACCTATTGTATGCTCCCGCGCAATGTAATTTTAACCTTAACACCTGCGTATTAAGGTTCAATGTCTTATGCTTTGCAGCTTAAGAAATCATTGAAGATTAGAAAGTTATAACGTTTGAAAACTTTAATATTTGATTTTCATGTAAATATTGTATTAATAAAGGTAGTTAGGATCAAAAACAAATGAAAAACCTAAAAAAAAACAATTGTTATGTAAGTCAGTCCTATTGTGCTAGCATTATTAGTTGATACATTTTTTGTGAATTAACCGAAATGTGGAAATACACAACTACGAGAACAATATGTGAATGAACTTCTCTGAGTTCATTCATGGTATAATTTAACGACAAGTGGTAATTGGGTTGTTTATTGTGTTTTTTTTAATACATTTTATACAAACTGCCCATTCGTGTCCATAGACAACATTGATAGCGTGTTTTGTCAATTAGCGACATCTAGTTACAATTTTACAAAACAAATGTTCACTTCAAACACTCAAATTGTCGTATTCGTGTATATTCACGATGTGTAGTCGCATATTTATAGGAAAGTACTCACAAGTAATAATAGCCTAAAACGTGTGTGATAAGTGCCTCTTAAGACCTTTACGAACTATGAAACTAGCTTTATGTGATTATTTACGAAGTATCGACCAAATGTAAGACGAGCGACACTGGTACCCACGTGCTCTAAAACGGTATATTCTCCAAAAGCAGCTTACACATACGTTTCGCGTTAGTTGCCAAAAGACACTTTTAATTGTTTGATGACGATTCGCGACGTACCAAGCCCCATTGGTAATTTTGAGGTTCACATTAACGTGCAGTACCTGACGACTAACGCCATAAAGGCATCGAAGCTGTCTTCGGCCTCTGATGGGTCGCGGCGTGGTTATTTCGTCTAGATCTAACTTGCTGGAGCCTGCGGGCGCAGTCGGCCGTGCCGTGGACTCCGAGATGCTGCACACCTCGGCTTGCCCTGGCAATAGCAAGAGGAGTGGCCGTAGGTTTGGCAGCGGTGACATTGCCGAAGTACGTTGTAGGACTTGGGGGTCTCAATTGTGAGACCGGGCAAGGAACAGCCACTTTTGATGTTAAAATGCCCAGTGGGGCCGGAGATGGGTCTAGGATGACCAATACCAACGACGTTTTTTTTTTAACGGCAAATTTGACTAATCCATCTTCGAGGTTGCCTGGAAGAAATCGCTTTTTAGCGATAAGGCCGCCTTTTTTTCACTACATTTTGTTTTTTTTTTTTTAATTATGTTTATTTTTTGTTTGTTTGTTTGTATATATCGCGTTTTAAACCGATAAAGTGGTTTATTTAAATGCGTACTAATCGCGTAAACTAGAGACAATATTTTAAACTTTCGAAGGACGTAAGTTTTAGGTGAGTTGGTGTGTACACAGAGCTGGTGGGGTATACATGAGTGTGAGAACATTGTCTATTTATATCCATCTATGCCGATATAAGTATAATGTCTATTTAGACTAGCTCAAAGCCCAGCGTCGCTCGTCTATCAGACGTCGAATCAAACACACCCTAGTCTTAATAAAAGTAGATACAAGAATTAGCACAGATTAAAAATATAAATAATTTAACTAGCGCTTGTTTTATCTTTATACGATTTGTATTACTTTGTTATTTGCATCATTGTTAGACATTTTTGTAATTTTGATATGTATGTTGTAATCCCATGCTGTTCATTCGACGCTGCGAGGAGAATCTTAATTTATTTGTTTATTGTTTGTAAAATATACCATCGCAACGATTTTGTGTTTTATTTTATATTTAGTTTTATAAGAACCGCAATAGCTAGAGAGTTAAAATTAGAGATGCGCTGAGTAACGAGTACCGAGTTTAAGTCTGCTCGATTTTTTATACCGAGTACTCGCCCGAATAATGAGTACCGAGTTTAACTCGGAGTAACTCGATTCAATCAAATTCCCATTGCTTTAGAATGAGATATTTAAAAGAAAATTTATTGACAAAAAACACCCCCTGCCGAGTGGTTAATAGGGCAGCAACCAAAGAATTCAGAGCTGGCACGTTTAGCGAGAGTATGTCTACGTCCACCTGCAACCACTTATTTCGGAGGTCGGTTACTTCTACAAGAGAAGAGAAATAGGCTGTTACAAGAACCTGGACAGATTCTTCTATTCCTGCATCATAACTTACCTTTATTGAATACTAGCTGTGCCAGCGACTTTGTCCGCGAGAATCATTATTTTGGGCATCCAAATAAGTTTTTGCAACCCCCGTCATCTTTATAAGCATGTTAGCCAGCCAGACGTCGATCGCGTCCCTTCCCGTCGTTCTTGCAAGCTAATCTTAAAAGATAGACACATAGCGTCGCGGACTTTTTTTTAGATCATTAGAGAGGAATCATTCTTTGATACACATTTTTTAGTTATCTTGAACCATTTTCGCCCAGAGAGATGAGAAATTTCCCTCGTGTTGTTCACTTTTCACGCTGTATCCTCGCTTCTATTAGTCACAGCATGATGTATATTTATGGATAAATAAATGTTCTAACCAACACAAAAATAATTTTTTAATTCGAATCTGTAGTTCCTGAGATTAGCGCGTTCAAACAAACAAACAAACTCTTCACCTTTCTTTATTAGTATAGATTAATTATTGTTATTACAGTTCTCGTAATATTTCCTATTACTACTTTATTATATAAAATTAAGGAATTAGTAATTTAACATTTCCTAAATTACTAATAAATACATTAATACTGTTATTTTAATTATATCTACCTAAATATAACGTTTAAAAAAAGCGTATTCGGCCGAATAACAAAGTATAACCAGTTATTCGGCCGAGCACGACTATCAAAAACCCCGCCGAGTACCGAGTACGAACCGAGTACTCGGCCCATCTCTAGTTAAAATGAAATCCACTATTATATGAGATCGCTGGAGGCAGAGTAGCCTACCCGCAATTTTATGACTTAGGAAATTTACTTTCTCAGAGTTTAAAAATGTCCATCTACTAGAGCACAGTTACAATATTCGAAGCGGGAGGACTTGAATGAAATGCCTTTTTAATAAAAATAATCATTTATTAAAAAAAAAGCTGCTTACAGAAATAATATATACTAAAGGTTTAATTTCAAAACACAATACACAAGTTCAATATCTAATTTAACTAAACTCATAACGAAAGACGAAATATCATCCAACTGCTCGACTTAAACTGTCGATCTCGACTGTCTGATTATGACTCTCTCTTACAACCGCGGAAGAGGTTTTCTGATGATTACTTTGTATAAACAAACAAAGTCATTAAGGGGTTGGACTTTACACAATTATCAAAAATAAACAACAAACGTCCTTAGAGAGTACTTTGTAGATGTCTTACATTATGGGACCATTATACTTTTTCACTCTTAAATATATTCTTAGAAGATTACATTATTTCTTCATATTTTACATTCACACAATTTATTCTAAAATAAAAAAAAATCCTTATATACTCGTTTACTTCTTACCTCATATAACTAACAATATCTGATAAAATCAATCTTTTAACATTACATGAGGTATACAAAACATTAAAAAAGTGAAAGCCCGTTTCCCCCTCGTGGGGCATGGGGCGAACACATTTCTGTGTACGTTTCACTGATCTGATCAGTTCTTTATGACAGGCAAGTAGTTGATCAGACTCCTGTGCACTACCTCACCGGATTTTTTTTTTGTTGCCCTGGGATTCGAACTTGGGATCTTTCGCGCATAACGCAATGCTAGTCAATACGTTTAACCATTTGGCTACAGAGGCGGTTAACTTACAAAACATTACAACGAATAAAATCACAATACATTATTGGGCATGCATACGGTCGAAAATTTAATATTATAACCGATCGTAAGCCGTTAACTTGGTTAATGAATGTTAAAGATCCTGGTTCTCGATTTCACAACCAATTTCATGTAATAAATTATAAGAATTTAATAGTACATTATGATATAAGTGCGGTAAGTTGAAAATTACAGCCGAGGCGATATTACTAGCTATAAGAAAGCAGAGGCTGTAAATTTCAAATCGCACGTATGTTATACGACGTTTTTAACATATTTACGAGGAAATTAATAAAACTCTAACTTAGTTAAACGAATAAATCTTTAATTAATTGTTAAAGCAGTTATAAACATTTGAACAATTTTTAAAAGTGATTGTTACGTTGACAGTTGTCGTTTTTATTAGGCAAAGCTACGAAAACAGCCAGTATTACTAATAAAGTAAATTAATATTTTTGTGTTTTTGTTATAGATAAATGGTTGTAATTTATTGTCAAAATTAATTTAATGTTTATTTGTTATATTTTATTTCCCAAAGTTAATTTTATTCATAAAATTGTCGACCACTTTCTTGACATAAAACCTCTTTGTTAAGATTTTTAAAAGTATCGTTCATTTTTAGACGGAGTATCTTAAAACTTTATTAAAAAAAAACACGTGCCTTTTACATTACATTATCGCACAAGCACGTAATGAGATACATTACGATATTGTAATTGGTTTAATTACCACTTTACGAGCAAATATGTTATAAAAAATTTAAAACCAATTCCTATGGCAATCCGTTAAGAAGGATTGCAAAGATTGTATAAAAATTGCGAATCGTGTCAACTTAAAAAATTAAATCCAAAACGGAATCATCTACCAATGTGTTACACAATCCTAAACTCTATACCGTTATAAAACTTTATATTTTACACTTTTTCATAATTGCTTAATGACTTTATTGTTGCTATTCCTACGCCC